GTGGGATTTTGCTCTATGTCTACTCTACATTCTCAGGAATAAAACTGAACACAGTAAGACAAATGGTTAATATGAACATTATTATGGCGGTCAGTTTTCCAAATACATTTGTTGAACCAGGAAGTGCTGTCACTTCCTCCTCTCAGGCAGTTTGGAATGGATGAACATCATTAATCAAATTAGTATAATCCTTACAAGAGCTAATCTATTTTAGCAGGCTTGGGTTTGGGGTCAGTTATTCTACAATGGTGTTTGATTCTCTAATCTGTGCTGATGAATCTACAGCTTTTTAAACTTCTCAAAGATATCCAAATATCTACTATTGTGTTTTTGTGCTATACACAAATACATCAAAATGCTTTTAAATGCTTTTGAATCTCTGTTGGTTGTAATCTATCTCATTAATCTAGGCTACACTCATGAGCTTTTTGCATTGTCAACATTCACAGATGTTTGAACACAAGTGAATTTGGCAAGTATCTAATAAAACTGTACATACAACTGTAATGAACTTTATAGTGATAATTCACTTCCGCCTCCGTCGAGCAAAGACGTGTCTCAGACCGCTCCTGCTTCTGACTGCTTGCTATCTCCTGTTTTTGTCTTTTTCCTGGAGTTTTGCCACAGACAACTTTAACAAGAATGGAAATGATTAACTGGTCCCTCAACGCAATTGATTCTATCTTTTCAACTCGTAAGCGTGGGTCTGGAGAGCCCGTGTGCCCGGACGGGACTTCACCGGCGGGGTATACTCTTGACAGCTGGAACAAGTTTCAGCCCCTCTGTCTGTCGGTCCTGTCTATTGAAGATTCGGAAGACGTATATATCTTTGGCTTTCTGGTGGTGGGGATCCTCCTGTTTGGGTTTGGAGCGGTTCTCTTCTACCACAAATTCGGAGGCATGGCAGTTCGCAAGATTCACGACCTGCTGGCCAACAAAATTGATGGGATGTACAAGGAGCTTAACCGAGTCGTGGTTGAGAGCGCTGTGGCTGGACAACGAAGAGTGGTTTTGGTGGAACAGTTGATCAGAGACCTCGCAGCTCGTTCACTTGACGGGCATAAAACTTTGGAATTGAGATTGAATGACATTGTTTGTCACGCTTGAACTCTCTGACCCGGCTTGGATTGGCCCCTGTGTACGGGGTTTGAGGGCGCCGCAATTCGGTTTAATTGGATTTAAATAGTATATCTGCCTGTTTTTGACTGCTAAAATGCATACTAGATTGTCCCTTGTTACAGGAAGATGTGTTTTCTCCTTGCTGTGTCTTCGCTCCTCTCTTATCTCACATTCCTCGGGCCAAGGCCATCACAATAAATCTGGACTCTACAAAAATTTCACACTCTTTCAGTCTTCCAGCTTGGATCCCGCTCCCCCCGCCTCCCTCTGATCTCTCCCTCCCCTCCCCTCCTTACTGTGTTTCCGACTCACCCCCTCCCTGACCCCGCCCCCCTCTGACAGCCACATTGGACCGGCAGCCAGAGGTGCTCATCCCGAGAAAAAAATCCGTGGTTTATACAAAGCACAATGTTTTCTATCCAACTGTCTGTTGTAACCTGTATGTTATTGCTCTCTGCTGTTTATTCTACTGTTTGTCGCATGGCGCCGGAAAAATGGCGCCGTGGCAAGAGCTCTGGTGTGTGTCGTCTCTGTCTGGCGCACACCGGGGTAGTCTTGCACAGTTTTTCCAATGTGGTTTTACTGCAAATGGCAAATAAATGAATCTGAATCTGAATCTGAATCTATTTTTGAAGTAAAGGTTTGTGAAATGGTCCTTTTACCATTTGATATTAGCAATGGCTAGAAATAATCTCTATTTTTGAAAGAATCTATGGTTGATGCTTTTATCTATTTCTATTTTTACGCTATTTTTTAACTCCAAAGCTCGGCTGCAGCTTGAGCAAAGGCATATTTCTAGTTTGTGACTTCTGTCACTTTTAACATCTACTAAAACGCTACAATACTCGTACTTTATCATTTAAAAACATTTTAACAGTTGCTCAGTCTCCCAGACTAAAAAGTCAAAGTTTTTGTCTGTCAGATGTCTGAATACTTAACATGTATATTGCATTTGTCACAGTTATGGTTCTGGTTGTAGCAAGAGCATCGGCAATAGACGATTTTTCATTGGCTGGTTCTTGTTCTGCAAATGGCTGTGTCCAATAGATCATCAGATGTCCAGAAGCTAGGGACAAACAAAAACAAAAGAAAGAATCATGAGTATCTCTCTCATTTAGCACTCATCAATGGCATGATTTCAATAATATAAACATCACTCCCCAGTTTTTTCTCTCTCAGGTCCTCAGGCCCTCAGGGTCCCCTGAGGGTGAGTCTCAGTCGTCATCAGGTCAGGTCATATTTCGAGAGATGTCATCTTGGACATCAGTAGGGTCCAAGCCATGGTTTTGGTCTCTCCAGTTGGACATCAGGATCTCCAGATACAGTCTTTTCACTTGAAGCACATCAGGTCATTTGTCTCAGTTCCTGTACACAGCTTGTTATGCAATAGTTACTCTCTATGGTTAAGTCATTTTGATTCTAATCCTAATCAATGTAATTACATCACACAGTACAAAATCAAAACATAAAAAGTGTCAGGACAGACGTCAATTAAGTCCATGACAATATAGAATTCAAATGAACATTTCTGGTCTCAAAAAATACTGATTCAAGTGATAGACAATTAAAAATATTTGTTTACATTGGAGTAAACTTTTAAAATGCTTTTTTCTCATGTTCTGCTTTTTCATGTATCTATATGTAAATGTGAATGTGTTTGTGTATGAATGTATGTGTGTAGGGTGTGAATTTTGGGGTTGTGTCTCCAGACTCCTCGAACCACCTGTAGGTGTCAAAGGTCACACTGTGGTGATGTAACCACGTGGACACATTTTCAACTGCCTCTAGGTCTCTACCTGAGGCCTTCACCCATCACTACCTCCAGAAACCTCCACTTTCATGGCCCCGGTCTCACTCCCACTTACTTCTGTAGTGGGGGGAGGGGCGTAGAGGTGGCATTGTTGCCCTTTTGCTCTTAGCTCTGTGGCCTGCTCTGGGTGGGTCTACTCTGGGCTCCTGTGGTCTGATCTCTGTGTCCACTCCTGCTGTCCAGTGACCCTGTACAGTGTGTGCCCTTGGTCCTGGAACACAACCTTATAGTCAAAATCAAAACAACAGATATCAGTTTGTGAATGAGATTGTTTTTCTCTCTAAAGTCTAAACAATTTTGGAGCGCTCTTGGCTTTTCCACATGCGCTATGTAAATAAAGATTACTTACTATCTTACTAATGATGACATTTTAAGCCCAGAAACTCTCTTAATAAAAAACAAGACTCAAATCTCAAAAATCTTCAAACTTTAAAATATGTATTATGTACTTTTGTACTGTGTGTTTAATTATCTTGAACATTTATCTCAGCATATATTCTACTAATTTAAAATAATTGCAGCATTTTTCAAATTAAGTCAATATGAATTGGAGCACATTTTAGAGCCAGTCTCCTCTGCTGTGTGCATCAGCAGGAGCAACAAGGTCAGGTGCATAGTCAAAACAAAAAAGTCAGCGCTTGAATGTGAATTGGGTAGAACTCAATATAATACTTTTACAGCTAATCCTAATTCCCTCTTTCTTTTTAGACAAAGTCTATAATCAATAATCACTTTTAACACAGATTCTAATTTAAATGTTTGAAGAATGGCTTTTGTAACTAAAATAAAAACATAAAAACAAACACAACTCACAAAAAGTTAAGAAATAAGCAGCAGATTTAAAAGAATGGAATCTAGAAATATGTTAGGTCTAAAAAGAATTGCACAGCTTTAGCACTAATATTTGGGTTTCAAAAACATATAATATTCAAAACTTATTCACTAATGGTGTTTAAAACGTTTAACTGTGTCATAACACAATGTTCAATGGCAAATTTCGCAAATTTAACTGAATAACAACTATGAAAAGCCAAAATCCTAAAAGCAGTAGCTCTGATTCAGAGCCAGAGCAGCGAAGGAGGGGGCCGTTTCCCCTGACAACGGCAGCAAGATAGAGTGGTGCACACACACAGGCAGAAAGTAGTGTTTTAGCAAAAATGCAAAAACAGAAAGAAGAATAACTTTCAAGATTACTTTGTTAAGCGAATATAACTGATGTTGTTCTTTAAACTTTTGTCATCCAAGTCTAGAAGTGATCACTTTCCACACTTGTAACAAAAGGCACTCTTAGTTTCCCTTTTTATTATTGCTTTTAATTTTTACACCAAACCCTGAGACTGCTCCAAGGGCTGCACGTCCTTCGCCCTCCGGTGTCGGACGTCGTCGGTGCTCCATCTGTCGGGTCAAGCTTCACCGCACGGATCAGCATGCCAGCTGCTTCATGTGCATGGGCTCGGGCCATGCGGCGGAGAGCGCTAGCTGCGCCTTGCGTCTCGCTCTCCCCAGAGAGGAGAGTGAACGCAGGCGCGCGTTCTACGCCACTACGGTGCCCCGTCCGGACTCTTCTAAGGACGAGGAGTCCGAGATTGACTGGGCCCCACTTGACCTCCCTCCTGTGCCCGCGGAATGGGGAGACTGCGAGGTTGGAGACTCGGAGGACGGCTCGCTCATCACCCTGGACGAGGTGGTTTCCAACCCGGCTCGGACGTGCAGTTGGGGTAGACATCTCAGACATGAAGTAAGTACGATGGTACAGTATGATCTCAATCGGCGCCATAGTGAAAGAGGGGGTGCGGCCTTGTGCAGGGGCCTTTATAGAGGAGGGTCGCTAGTGATTGGAGCAAATTATTTTGATCACTCTGGCGTGTGACCTGGGGGTCACGTGATATCCCACTAGCGAAGTCCGCTAAGGGACGTAGCACCATGACGTAGAACTTGTTTTCCTCAAAAGCAAATGGGAAATAAAATCTAATGTGGTGTAACAATCCAAACAAAGCCAACACATTTAGTTCATGGATCCAACCAAAAAGCTGAAAGTTGAGCAACACACTCAACTCAGGGTTCTGTTTTGATGTGGGCGGGACAGAGCTGCTCAGGTCTTACAGGAAAGGTCTAAGGTGGTTGGTAAATAATGACAATTCTGCTCAAATAACCGAGTATAAAAACATTACCTAGTCCAAGTTGTGAGTAAATACCAATGCATAAAACGTTTCTAAAAATGACCTTGATTTGTGTTTGTCAGTCCTCCCGTCCATCTCTCTGCTGCAGAAGTCCTCGTCGTCCCCCGTCACCTGCCAAGCCACTGGTTTCTTCCCCGGCCAAGCCTCTATCTTCTGGACTAAAGATGGAGACATTTACTACGAGGGCGTGGACTTTGGGGAGACCCTGCCCAACAACGACGAGACCTTCCAGACCAGTGCGGAGCTGGACGTGTCCTCTGTCCCATCGGAAGACTGGGGCCGCTACAACTGTGTGTTCAGGCTCTCTGGGTACAAAGACGAGATCATCACACCACTGGACAAAGCCGCGATCAGGACCAACGGTGAGACTCGGGTTCATGATGTGTGTGGTTTATGTTTGTTCTGTAGCAGTCAGTAGGGATGGGACAAGATCTGTACCAAAAGATCCAAGATTCCATTCAGATAAGATCAGATTCAGAAAAAACTGTCTGTTCAAATTGGTTAGAATGGGTTTAACGCTGGCGAGTTGAACCTTGTGAGAAGCTGTAGTCCCTAAAATCAAAGATATTACACATAATGTAATGTGGGGTCAATGTTTCTTTCAATAATAGATAAACGTTCACAGAATTCACTTGATTATTACGATTTACTGTATTTGTCCCATAATCTTGTGTCTCATCTAAAATGTCAATGTTTTGATTGCAGTTAATTCAATCTCTCCACGTGGGATAAATAAAGTAGATACATGAACAAAACAATTGATACAAAAGTGCAGTGGGAAAACCCGATTGGTAAATATCTCTGTCACTTCAGTCTCACAGTCATTTGAATTTGGCTCTAAATTTATCAGAAATGATCTCCAATGGTTTTCTGATGCACTTGTTGTACATCTTTAAAGCATTTAGTACCATTAAAATTGAGTAAACACATGCTAAATTCAGAAATAGAGGCAACTGAAGTCAAAAAGACAAAGCGACGTAAATGAAGGTGTTAGTATAAATCCAGGTGGTTTGGTGAATGTTACGAAGGAAGTGTATCCAAATCACTGTTTCCCAATAGTATGTAGTAGTAAGTAAGTAATGTTTATTTATAAAGCACATTTTTACAGACCAAGGTCACCCAAAGCACTTTACAATAGTTTACTGCAGCATCCAGGTTTAAGTCAGAGATTTGATCAAAGATTTAAAACATGTAAAGATGATTAATCCCATTGTTCTGTGATCTTTACCTTTGACAGAGAAGCCCACCTCTTCTCTGATCGTCACTGTTGTTGTGCTCGGTGTCTGTGCCGCTGTCGCTGCTGCTGCTGTGGGGTTTTTCATCTACAAGAAGAAGAATTAATAGTTACCTAATGTAACTTAAGTTCTACGAATAGGTGCGTAGTCCCTTAGCGGACTTCGCTAGTGGGATATCACGTGACCCCCAGGTCACACGCCAGAGAGATCAAAATAATTTGCTCCAATCACTAGTGACCCTCCTCTATAAAGGCCCCTGCACAAGGCCGCACCCCTTCTTGAACTCTGCCAAGCCGGGCTGGCCTGATGGGCTCGTAGCTAAGGGACTACGCACCTATTCGTAGAACTTAAGTTACATTAGGTAACTATTAATTCTACGTCATGGTGCTACGTCCCTTAGCGGACTTCGCTAGTGGGACACAACGCGGAGGCCGTAGGAACATGTACTCCCAGCAGGCCAGCGAAGAGTGATTGGAGCTCCGCCCGAGCAAAACCCTCACACAGTGAGAGGACTCAGGGCAGAAAAAGCAATTGCGTGTTACAGGGCCACTCCTCCCAAGGATACCCCCAAGTAACACAGAAAGAAGGTCACTCGTAGTCCCAGGACGCCTCTCCCAAGAGCTGATGTGGACTACCTGACTGACCAAAGCACACAAAAATACCGCACCTGCAGGACGCTACTCCCAAGAGCTCCTGAACAGGGCGGAAAGTCAAGGTCAACCTCTAATAGGGGACAAAAAGGTTACAACTCAGTCCGCTGCACCAAGCACGGAATGGGCCACCGACCGGTCCGACACATCCAAAAGGTAAGACCGGACGAAAGAAGAGGACGACGCCCAAGAAGCCGCACGGCACACGTCCTCGACCGACGCCCCCCTGAGGAGGGCCGTAGAGGCCGCCACCCCACGCGTGGAATGCGACCTGAAGCCCACCGGGGGGGCCAGGCCCTGAGCCTGATACGCCCGCCGCACAGCCGTGGCGACCCAGTGCGCCAGCCACTGAGCCGACAGCGGGGCGCCCCTGTTCTCGGGGCCCAGACACACAAACAGCTGACCAACCAACCTGAATGAAGACGTCATGGCCAGGTAATGCCTAAGCATTCTGACAAGACACAGAAGGTGCCGCCGCTCCTCCTCGGGGGAGGCATGCGGCGGCGGATGGAATGCCCTAATCCTGATCACTCTCGACCTGAAGGCCGACGTGATGACTTTAGGGAGAAAAGCCGGATTAGGCCACAACTCCACCAGGCCGTCGCCCTCTCCAAAGGACAGGCAAGACGCATGGATGGAGAGCGCACACAAGTCGCCTGCCCTCTTAGCAGACGCCAACGCCAGCAAGAGGGCAGTCTCAAAAGCAACACATTCGGGACTCGCCTCCGCCGCCGGTTCAAAAGGCGGGCCCGACAGACCCCTAAGGACCACCCTGAGGTCCCAAACCGGGGGCGTTCTCTGAAGCGGGGGCCTCCTCCTGCGCGCCCCCCTGCGCGCCCCCCGCAGAAAACGTTTGACCAACGGATGAGAGCGGGCTGTGAACCCCCCGAAACCATCGTGACCCGAGGTAATGGCTGTCGCGAACACCGCCAAGGTGGCGACAGTCCTCCCTTTGTCAAAAAATTCCTGTAGGAATCCCAGGACTTCCTCCAACGGGCAACGCCTGGGATCCCAGGAGCGAGAACCGCACCAGTCGCTGAAGAGCCTCCATCTCGTGGCGTAGGCCCTCACAGTACACGGTAAGACCTACATTTATTTCATTGTCCGTGTTATATAGCTGGGTTTTATACTCCTATTCTTAATGAGTCCTATTTTTGTTACAGCCAAGCGCCCTCCAACCCGTGAGTCTCTTAAATTATACTATATTATAAACTTTTTTCTTTTATATCTTAAATAACATGACTAACTATGTTGAATCTTTGCAGCTGTGAGCGATAGAGAAGTCGAAGAGGAGCTGAATCCAAAGTGAGTAAAAAACATTTCATTTATAATTTTACATTAAGAAATATCTGTGTAGACTTAAACGTGGGGTACATTACTACATACTTCGGGGTGGTCCTGTTTTTCACTTTTCTGTCTGAAAAAGCTGATCTAAAGATGTGACAAAGGCCAAAAACATGTGAAAACTAGAGACAGATGCAAACTCTTTTAGAGCAAGGAACGAGTTTATGGATTTTATTACGTAGTGGAAATGTTTGTGAATTGAAAGTTAGGTTCCCCAGCTTTAACATCATGTGTCTTATCTTCAAGTGTTTTAGAACCTAATGGCTAAAGCACCACATTCACACACTCCCCTGTTTGAAGTGCTAAATTCTTATGTTTCATTTTGTTTCTCTTTCTCAGGTCTTAAATCGCTGTTGGGAGGAGAGGGGAATTCCAGTTGGACACACGTCATTCTTGGATGTCATACACTTTTACAAACCTGGCTTTCATGCAATACTGTATTCTAATTTAAGTTTCAAATCACACCAAGTTTCAACAAATGCATCTTGTTTTTGCTCATTTTAGTCAAAGCATCATTTGTGGCATTATTAAGTTTATACACATGAGGGACCATAGTGTTTTCTGGTGAAGGGGCTTTTTATAAATGTTTAATGTTGTCAGTTTGATCACAAATACATTTACATTGAATATCAAATCTACAATGGATCCATATTAATATTAACCTGGAGGGCAGACGATACAAAAATCTATATTTTCTCTTACAATAAAGTGTCATTGAACTAAAGCCGTCGTAGATACATAGAACTAAATGTAAAAATGTGGATTCCATTTCACAATTTTCAAAAAACATATTTTGTTTGATATTATGTGAACAAACATCATCTGAAAATAAGAACAGGACGATTTATTTCTTCCTTTGTAAACAGTGCAAACATGAAGCACTCTAAAGATACACATGAAATATGTAAATATATTTGTTAGATATTATTTTATTACAGTCATAATATTATAATGAGGCGTGACGTAGATTTTAATAGATATTTTGTGATATTTTGTTGATTTAAATCGTTTTTTTTAAAATCTGGAAGTGTACTGCTTTTCATCTTTTTCCTTTGTTCTGCTGCTTGTATTTAAATAAAAAGGTCTTACTTTAATAATGACTTCCATATTTGATTTCTCTGTCACGCTGTGAGCTGTATGTTCTAATGGGAAGAATCAACAACATGAGAACTGAATCTCAGCTCATAGTTTGGCTTGTTTTGCTTAATAATGAATGACTCTTATAGTGCACTAAAACAGCCTCCAGCGAGTTACTTTCAGAATCATCTTACTGGTTTCATACTTCTGTATTTCAGGGTCAAAGGTGCACTATCATTTTATAAGTATTTAAGGGCCCTCTGTGTATTAAGGGTTAATTTATGGGTTATTTGCACACATCACCAAACACACGCAGTCACATGACTTTGCCACAGCTTTCTCCTTCCTGGTTGATCTTAAACCAGTTCATCCTGTTCAGCAAAAACCAGAGACAAACTTCTGGCAAATGTAATCTTTATTTCTGGTGGTCAGTAAATAAAACAGTGGGTGGTTTAACCAGTTGTACAAACAGCCTGTTTCGGGATCATGGGCAATAGACAAGTTTCTTGTTGGACTTTAGAACATGCCTTTCTTATAGCGGTGGATCAGCTCAGACACATCCTCTTTACACACTTTAATCCAGCCGTCCTCCTGCATGTGATACACTGGACACACAAACAGACATGTTTTTACTTATAGCCACAGGTCAAATCTCTATTACATCGTTTTACATCAGAACTTTAAAAAGTTTAAAAGCACTAAGATATTATAATGAGCCACAATTGCTTCAAAGATTATCTGTGTGTGTGTGTGTGGGTTTGTGCGTGTGTGTGTGTGTGTGTATACACAATATATCTACCTCATTAATGATTTAATTAATCTATAGTGTTACTTTTAAATGTAAATTACAACAAATATTCTATTGTTTTTTGTGACCTGAAACATTGCTGTTCACATGAACACACACAGGTCTTTAGTAACAGTAATAGTAATAGTAACAGTAATAGTAATAGTAACAGTAATAGTAAAAGAAAATTGAGGCTAAGTCATTATTGAAATATAGACATAAGTTCATGTTTTCTTTAACTTCAAATCCAAATGCATGTTATTACCTCTGTAATGTGTCTATTGTTTGTGATTTATAATCCATATAATCCATTCTCCTCTCTCCTGATCACTTGAATATCATTGGTGTATAAAGTCAGTACAATTATGATGAAGTCCTGTTTTTCTTCCCGCAGGGCCTCACATTGTCCAGAATATGTACGGCTGTGAATGGGACGATGAAACTGGGAACGTCAACGGCTTCAGTCAGTTTGGCTTCGATGGAGAGGATTTTATTGTCTTTAATCTAGAGACTGAGACGTGGATCGCACCGAGGGCAGAAGCCATGTTCACAAAGATGAAATGGGACAGGGACGAGCTGAAGATCCAAGCCGATAAAAAGTATCTGACTCAAATTTGTGTTGAATGGATAAAAAAGTACCTTAATGATGGAAAAGAACAGCTTTTAAAAACAGGTAAATGAAGTTTATGCACATGACTTGTTTAAAAAGTCATTCAAGAAATACAGTAGATATAAAAAATGATATAAAAATTAAACAGTGACACCCAAAGTGTTTTCTGTTTTGGATATTTTAATCACAGAGACATGAAGTGTAATATCAATCTAATCAAATGTATTTAAAAATTGAAATTCATGAAGCAAAACTCAACTTGTTTTACAAAGACATGATAATCGTACATAATCACAAACATTATAAAGCATTTTAAGAACAATTTCATTATTTAAAGCACATTCATAAAAATCACTGTTAATAGCTTAATAAAACAGTTTTCAGCCTAGACCAGTAATTCACCTTGGAGAGACCCATGAGGAAAACGCATTAGACTTATTAGATTTTAGCATGTTTATTGATTGAGCATGTTTGGCGCCCTAGGCCCGGGCGGGATGCTGTTGAGCACGGCGCTTGCTCGCGTGCATGATCCCCCCGGGGCCTAGGCACTGGTGACGGCAGAGGCAGTAGGCAAGCACGCTTCATGAGAGAAGGAGGAGGTGGGGCGGCGGCGGCTTGCAGACTTCAGAAGACCGGGAAATGGGCGTCTCCGGCTTTTAACTTGCTGTCCTGGTGGTTATTGGTTGACTGGGTGTGGGCGTTGCTGGTATTGATGAGTCGAGGAAGAGCAGCCTGTGGCCTGGCACAGCAGCCGGGTCTACCATGGTGAACTTTCGCGAAAGCTCCATTTCACCTTGGAGAGACCCATGAGGAAAACGCATTAGACTTATTAGATTTTAGCATGTTTATTGATTGAGCATGTTTGGCGCCCTAGGCCCGGGCGGGATGCTGTTGAGCACGGCGCTTGCTCGCGTGCATGATCCCCAAAAAGCGGGCCTGCGATTGGGATAGCAGGACGTACTGCGCGGGCCTGAGAGCATGAGCGAGCTGAGAATATGCGCGCACGCGCATGTTCAGCCAGCCGCTGTGGCAGGGGAATCTTTGAGCGAGCTGAGAACATGCGCGCACGCGCATGTTCAGCCAGCCGCCGTAGCAGGGGAATCTTTGAGCGAGCTGAGAACATGCGCGCACGCGCATGTTCAGCCAGCCGCCGTGGCAGGGGAATCTTTGAGCGAGCTGAGAACATGCGCGCACGCGCATGTTCAGCCAGCCGCCGTGGCAGGGGAATCTTTGAGCGAGCTGAGAACATGCGCGCACGCGCATGTTCAGCCAGCCGCCGTGGCAGGGGAATCTTTGAGCGAGCTGAGAACATGCGCGCACGCGCATGTTCAGCCAGCCGCCGTGGCAGGGGAATCTTTGAGCGAGCTGAGAACATGCGCGCACGCGCATGTTCAGCCAGCCGCCGTGGCAGGGGAATCTTTGAGCGAGCTGAGAACATGCGCGCACGCGCATGTTCAGCCAGCCGCCGTGGCAGGGGAATCTTTGAGCGAGCTGAGAACATGCGCGCACGCGCATGTTCAGCCAGCCGCCGTAGCAGGGGAATCTTTGAGCGAGCTGAGAACATGCGCGCACGCGCATGCTCAGCCAGCCGCCGTAGCAGGGGAATCTTTGAGCGAGCTGAGAACATGCGCGCACGCGCATGTTCAGCCAGCCGCCGTAGCAGGGGAATCTTTGAGCGAGCTGAGAACATGCGCGCACGCGCATGTTCAGCCAGCCGCCGTAGCAGGGGAAACTTTGAGCGAGCTGAGAACATGCGCGCACGCGCATGTTCAGCCAGCCGCCGTAGCAGGGGAATCTTTGAGCGAGCTGAGAAAAGTGCGTGCCGCCACCAGAATCTTGTTGCTTACTTGCTTTGCTGGGAGCTTACGAGGAAGCCGGTAGACGTTGTGCTGCCATGATAGCGGTCGCATCTGGCCTGATGTAGGTGGAGAAGCCGAAGAGGACCAGCGCCCCAGCTGTTGCAGAGGAAGAGTGGGGGAGCCCCAGCGAGGTCGCGCGCGTGGCAGCGCCTATCCTGAAGGAGTGGGCTGTAAGAGCTAGGGAGACAAATTGCAGAGGAGCAGTAGGGATCTTAGCTGAGCTCTGAACCAGGTTGCTGTTATGGGAAGGTTGACTGGAGTGAGAATTAGAGGTCCGTTAAAATCTCCTTTTTGCCGCGGAGGCGAGTGTAACGCATCATGGACCTGTAGGGGCAGAGAGATGTGTCGAAGCGAGCTATTATTGAGTTGCAGGCGCCTCTGATCTTCGAATGTTTGAGATGAAGGTTGAATGGTCAGGGGACATTATGTTGGGTGAGAAGAGCGACCTTTGTTTAATGCTTCCACTACGTCGAGATGATCACGCATGACAGAGATCCTCTTTCTCTGCCACGTGTGATTCCGCAGCGCGCAGGCCACGACCACTGGGAATGTCTCGTGTAGGGCAGATGAAATGCTCCGGGGAAAGTAGCGGGCCACGGCCGGCGAACCACTGGTCCTGGAAGAATCCCCCAAAAACCCACGGAAGGGGCAGCGTCCGTGTAGAAGCGGAGACCTGTAGGGGCAGAGAGACACACCGGAGAGGGCCATTGATGTTGCAGGCGCCTTTACGCTTAGAATCTTGGGTTGGAGAGTAGATAATTAGGTCAGTAGGATAGGACGGGAAGCCGTGTCTCGGACCGCATTGAAGGTTGAGTGAGCAGTGGTGAAACGCTTATGCAGAGAAGCCACAGAAGGCGAGCAGAAGATGCTGCGAGGAGGGCAGACGTGTACTTGGAAGATGAGCCGGAGTTCAGCGCCGCTGCAGGATGGGCAGCATGATGGGGAGCCTGTGATCAGAAGAGTGAAGAACCAGGTATGGATGCCTTTGATTAGGAGTCCGATTGACGGCTCAGCGCAGCTACTTGGCCAGCTGCATCTGATAGAATCAGAAGATTCAGTAGAGAGATGAAGCACGACCGCCGAAGCGACCCTGGGAGCATAGGTGCGAGTCCGGCGCAGCGCGGCATACTCAGCCGGGCTGCATCCATTAGAAGCAGGATGAGCTTCTGAGAGAATGGGTTGCAGTAGCAGTCGCAGCAGCGGCAGCAGCAGTAGCCTCAGATAATAACAGCAAAGTCCTGTATCAAGCCGCGGCAGCAGCAGTAGCAGCGTCCTTAGAAAATAGCAGTAATAATTCTGTATCAAAGCCACAGCAGTAGAATGTTGTTGTAGCTGTTCAGGGTTTCAGTAGAAGAGATGCGAAGTGAAGAGAATGCAAAGTAAATGAAGCAGCAGCAGTAGCAGCAGTAGCCGTATGAAGCAGCAGCAGTAGCAGTAGCAGCAGAAGCAGCAAAGCAGTAGCAGCAGTAGCAGTATGAAGCAGCAGCGGTTGCAGCATCCGTAGATAATAACAGCCATAATCCTGTATCAAAGCCAGAGCAGTAGAATATTGTTGTAGCTGTTTAGTGTTTCAGTAAAAGAGATGCGAAGTGAAGAGAGATGTCAAGTACATGAAGCAGCAGCAGCACGGCAGCAGATGCAGAATGAAGCAGCAGCGGCAGCAATAGCAGCAGTAGCGGCAGCAGAAGCAGCAAGCAGCAGCAGCACAATGCAATTCATCCGAACAACAGACGTGTCACGCCAGCGTGCGCCGCTTGTCTCCGTGAGCCAGGTTACGTACGTGTCTGAAGAGCCGAGCCGTAGAGATAGGTGCAGCCTGGGAGCCTGCGGAGCGGCAGCGGCAGGAACAGCAGCAGCGGCACATGTAGTAGTAGGAGCAGCAGGAGCAGGCAGCAGGAATAGGCAGCAGCGGGATCAGGCATCAGTAGGAACGGCAGCAGGGACCGCAGCAGCGGCGGTCAGAGAACCATGCCCACGGTTGTTTAGAGCCTGAGGAAATAAATCAACCCGAATCCGAAACATTCCCATGCGAGAAACAGATGTCCCCTGGAGCCATCTTGCTGCTTTGGTTATGGCAGAGACGCATGAACGATCACTGTTCCATGCGTTCATAGCTACAGCTCCACTTCAAACCCATTGCATATTCACATTGGGCCCCTTTTCTTTCTGCTGCACTTTCGAAATGCAACAACTGCAGTTTAGTTACCCAGTTTAATACTAGTGACCTAGCTATTTAAATGCATGGCCCCTCCTTCCTCCTGCAGATAGACGAATTTAAATACATCATTTAACAATAGTGACTTGCGAGTAATGAGATTGATGCTGTAAAGATGGCGCCGTGCAAGAGCTCTGTGTGTGCCGTCTGGAGCACGATGGGGTAGTCTTTGCACATTTTTTCCAACGTGGTTTTACTGCAAGTGGCAGAACATGAATCTGAATTAATGCACATTGCTCCTCTTATATCCCTCAGACATTGGAGATTGATGCCATTTAAGATGCATTGACCCTCAGTTAGCTCAACACGTGTAAAACGGAGCCTGCAGACCAAGCACGGGCGAAGACTGACGCCTGCAGTCAAGTGCGTAGGGCAAAAACCAGTCGCCTGCAGCCTAGACTCCGGGATTAAACTGTCCGCGGTCGGCACACTCACTGTACTCACATGCCAGGAGACTTGGGAAGAGCAACGGGACAACGCGGCACCGCCAATCGGAGGCAGGGACACGCACGGCACCGCCAGACCGTCTGCGCGCGGCAGCAGACCACGAGGAACGAGCAGCACAGAACCGCGGAGGGGCCCCGCGGAGCAGCCCGCAGAAGAGCCCGCAGAGGAGGAGAGCAGTGGGGATATGCGAACCACAGCAGGTGCGGGGACGCGGAGGAGGAGCAGACCACGAGCAGCCAGACTGAGGACAGCAGGGCCACGCGCACGAGCAACACGTGAGCAGAAGCGACCCCTCCAGAACCACGCATGCATTTGCGAACAGGTGCGTTAGCGACATGCACCTTGCAGACTTCAGAAGACCGGGAAATGGGCGTCTCCGGCTTTTAACTTGCTGTCCTGGTGGTTATTGGTTGACTGGGTGTGGGCGTTGCTGGTATTGATGAGTCGAGGAAGAGCAGCCTGTGGCCTGGCACAGCAGCCGGGTCTACCATGGTGAACTTTCGCGAAAGCTCCATGTGCTGGTCCCTGTGCTCCTCAGAGTCCCAGCAGGAGGCCTGTCCCTGTGCTCCTCAGAGTCCCAGCAGGAGGCCAGTCCCTGTGCTCCCCAGAGTCCCAGCAGGAGGCCTGTCCCTGTGCTCCCCAGAGTCCCAGCAGGAGGCCTGTCCCTGTGCTCCTCAGAGTCCCAGCAGGAGGCCAGTCCCTGTGCTGCTCAGAGTCCCAGCAGGAGGCCAGTCCCTGTGCTCCTCAGAGTTGGTTCATATGGCACTAAGATATCCTTTTTAATGCGAGTCATGGAGAGCTGCTTTAAGGTGTTTTCTCTGAGCCACAGGAAGCCAGTGCAGAGACCTGAGGACTGGACTAATGTGATTGTACTTCCTGGTTCTTGTCAGGACTCGAGCTGCAGCGTTTTGAATTTACAGAAGCTGCAGGTGAATGGGAACAGTTCCCTTCACTGTAACAAATTTCTGTAAAATTACAATGAAATTTCAACATTAAAGAAATGCTATTTTGAAAAACAATTCAAACATGCAAATTTAAGTATAAATGGGTTAAAAAACATCCAGTGGCGTTTTATTACCACAATTATAATGTGATTACAAAAAAACGTTACAAAACCATAAAATCACAAAGTGAATTACAATGGATTACCGTAATTTAACATCAACTTGTATTTTTGGAACTCTGGTAAATTTTTGCTAGCAAGCAACCATGAGTGTAAGAGGCATGGGTAAGAGGTTTAAACTCCTGCTTTTGATAAAATGGTGCTTTTGAGTTATGTGTGTCATAGAAGTAAAGATTTCAACTATGTTCTTGTACAAACTGAAGATGTCAAATAATAATTGAAAAGTTGTGTTCATTAAAGGAAAACAAAATTAAACTGTGTAGTGTGTTGTTCAATGAAATTAATGAGAAACAGAAACAGTCATATGGTGTGATAATACTACATTAACATTATAATGCTGTTTTTGTTGTATGTGAATGAACAGGAACATACAGTTAAATCCTGAAATCACAAAGACAAAATGTGATTCAGTGAAACAGTCTTTAACCGTTAAAATTAGAAACGGCAATGCCATGTTGAGATAACGGTAAATTCCTGGAACCATACTTGCAGCTATTTACTGTTTTTCTACAAGGACATTTTTTACAGTGCAGGTAGTTTGCACTGATGCTACTAAATATTTCATTATGCAAATTGCTGAATATTAAAATCTTATCCAATCCACCAATTCTCTGAACATGTTCCACACTGAATTACTGGTTGGCTCTCCTCTCTGTAGATATGAAGTAATGAAGTAACTTGTTTGCCTCAAATGCAAATGGGAAATAAAATGTAATGTAGTGTAACAATCCAGACAAAGCCAACACATTTCGTTCATGGATCCAACCAAAAAGCTGAAAGTCGAGCACCGCACTCAACTCAGGGTTCTGTTTTGATGTGGTCTGGACAGATCTGCTGAGGTCTTACAGGAAAGGTCTAAGGTGGATGCTAAATCATGACATTTCTACTCAAATAACCAAGTATAAAAACATATCCTAGTCCAAGTTGTGAGTAAATACCAATGCATAAAACGTTTCTAAAAATGACCATGATTTGTGTTTGTCAGTCCTCCCGTCCATCTCTCTGCTGCAGAAGTCCTCGTCGTCCCCCGTCACCTGCCACGCCACTGGTTTCTTCCCCGGCCAAGCCTCTATCTTCTGGACTAAAGATGGAGACATTTACTACGAGGGCGTGGACTTTGGGGAGACCCTGCCCAACAACGACGAGACCTTCCAGACCAGTGTGGAGCTGGACGTGTCCTCTGTCCCATCGGAAGACTGGGGCCGCTACAACTGTGTGTTCAGGCTCTCTGGATACAAAGACGAGATCATCACACGACTGGACAAAGCCGCGATCAGGACCAACGGTGAGACTCGGGTTCATGATGTGTGTGGTTTATGTTTGTTCTGTAGCAGTCAGTAGGGATGGGACAAGATCTGTACCACAAGATCCAAGATTCCATTCAGATAAGAACAGATTCAGAAAAAACTGTCTGTTCAAATTGGTTAGAATGGGTTTAACGCTGGCGAGTTGAACCTTGTGAGAAGCTGTAGTCCCTAAAATCAAAGATATTACACATAATAGATCATGTAATGTGGGGTCAATGTTTCTTTCAATAATAGATAAACGTTCACAGAATTCACTTGATTATTATGATTTACTCAGACGATAGAATATATATTTGTCCCAAAATCTTGTCTCATCTAAAAAAAAATTTTATGATTGCATTTAATTCAATCTCTCCACGTGGGATAAATAAAGTAGATACATGAACAAAACAATTGATACAAAAGTGCAGTGGGAAAACCTGATAGACTGCTAAATATCTTTGTCAGTCTCACAGTCATTTGAATTTGGCTCTAAATTTATCAGAAATGATCTCCAATGGTTTTCTGATGCACTTGTTGTACATCTTTGTAACATTTAGTAACATTAAAATTGAGTAAACACATGCTAAATTCAGAAATAGAGGCAACTGAAGTCAAAAAGACAAAGCGACGTAAATGAAGGTGTTAGTATAAATCCAGGTGTTTTGGTGAATGTTACGAAGGAAGTGCATCCAAATCACTGTTTCCCAAAAGTATGTAGTAGTAAGTAAGTAATGTTTATTTATAAAGCACATTTTTACAGACCAAGGTCACCCAAAGCACTTTACAATAGTTTACTGCAGCATCCAGGTTTAAGTCAGAGATTTGATCAAAGATTTAAAACATGTAAAGATGATTAATACCATTGTTCTGTGATCTTTACCTTTGACAGAGAAGCCCACCTCTTCTCTGATCGTCACTGTTGTTGTGCTCGGTGTCTTTGCCGCTGTCGCTGCTGCTGCTGTGGGGTTTTTCATCTACAAGAAGAAGAACGGTAAGACCTACATTTATTTCATTGTCCGTGTTATAGCTGGGTTTTATACTCCTATTCTTAATGAGTCCTATTTTTGTTACAGCCAAGCGCCCTCCAACCCGTGAGTCTCTTAAATTATACTATATTATAAACTTTTTTCTTGTATATCTTAAATAACATGACTAACTATGTTGAATCTTTGCAGCTGTGAGCGATAGAGAAGTCGAAGAGGAGCTGAATCCAAAGTGAGTAAAAACATTTCATTTTTAATTTTACATTAAAAAATATCTGTGTAGACTTAAACGTGGGGTACATTACTACATACTTCGGGGTGGTCCTGTTTTTCACTTTTCTGTCTGAAAAAACTGATCTAAAGATGTGACAAAGGCCAAAAACATGTGAAAACTAGAGACAGATGCAATTCAATCTGGAGAGACTTGAACAGGCAAAACAGGGTATTAGAATTGTATGTTGGTTGGCAGGTAATCTGACACTGCATGAATTACACATGACACTAAAGACATTATTTTCAAGATTACATTTATTGTGCTGAACAGAATGTGGTTGGGATTTGGCGCTTAGACCCCGGCAGAGCACTGCACAATTGCAGAAGGGGAAAGCGATTATGAGATGAAATCCCCCAGGGCCTAGACCCTGGTGGTGGTAGCTAGGAGAAGGATGAAGGAGCTGGCCTGGAACAAGGCGGAGATGGGGAGGAGGAGGGTTGCGGCATGAATGAAGCTGCTGCTTGGATGGAGCTTCTGCGTGATATGAAGCTGATGCTGCAGGTGAGGATTTGCGCGAGGCGCTGCACGGCTGAGTGTGATTGACTGATTGCTGTTGCTGTGGGCAACAACAGGAGAACTGAGCGCTGCTGTTTGGGAGCGCTCATTTCTTCCACTCTGAATTTCCGCTTTAGCTTCGTACTCATTTAGAGCGAGGAACGAGTTTTATGGATTTCAATACATAGTGAATTTGTTTCTGAAATGAAAGTTAGGTTCCCCAGCTTTAAGAAGTAAAATATTGACATTGTGCCCTGTTTGGAGGATACGCTAAACTGTAAACACACAAAGGGAATAATGTGATTCATTAGAAATGCTAATTTCTTATGTTTCATTTTGTTTCTTTTTCACAGGTCTTAAATCGCTGTTGGGAGGAGAGGGGAATTCCAGTTGGACATACGTCATTCTTGGATGTCATACACTGTGGCGTTCCAAGGGTACCCCGGGCCCCAGGCAACAGAGTCCTTGGGGTCATACACTTTTACAAACCTGGCTTTAGGCTTTCAGAAATTAGTAGATAATTTCATGCAATACTGTATTCTAATTTAAGTTTCAAATCACACCAAGTTTCAACAAATGCATCTTGTTTTTGCTAATTTTAGTCAAAGCATCATTTGTGGCATAGTTTATACACATGAGGGACCATAGTGTTTTCTGGTGAAGGGGCTTTTAAAAAATGTTTAATGTAGGGCTGTCAAAATTATCGCGTTAACTCACGTTAATTAATTTTTTCATTAATCACGTTTAAAAAATTAACGCATGCCCATGCATCCCATAATAACACTCAGAATTCCACGGACACGTGTGTATGAGATGGCAACAGAGCAGGTCTTTGGGAATTGAAGTTTTAAAAGAATACACGCGTTCCCTGTATGAACTCTGCGAGCGGAGCTGCGGGCGCTCTGGACAGCGGTTCCTCCAGCGGTTCCTCCAGCGGCTGTGATCACGGCGAACGGCGCCGCGTAACGTGATCATATCCCAGACCACGCACAGAACTATTCTCTGATTGTAGTGCGTGGCTTGTAGTGCGTAACCGGTGAACTCAATAAATATAGCACAGAAGCTGGACTACGGAGCCTCAGTCTCCTCCGTGTCTTCTCCAGAAGCGCACTCGCTAAATTAAAGCTGAGGAACCTAATTTTCCCTTCCACTACCAGTTCATGACAGATTTAATGACATTCTGCATTTCAGACTGTTTTGAAATGTCCCTCATCAGTAACAAACAATAGTTTTGGTCTGAGTCTAAACCGAGAGACAGAATGTTAATAATGTTAATGCCATTTTATATGGATTTATTGTTAAAATAAACAAATACACTACATATGTACACTATGTTGTGTCACGGTTAAACAGAACACAAAACTAGACACAGATCAGCGATGAACGATTTATTAACAAAGGAGAATTGACAATGTAGCACGTGATGTGGACAGAGGCAGTGGCAGGCGGGCAGAGGCAGGTGGGCAGAGGCAGGCGGACAGAGGCAGGCAGGCAGTGGCAGGCAGGCAGAGGCAGGCAGGCAGTGGCAGGCGGGCAGAGGCAGGCGGGCAGAGGCAGGCGGGCAGAGGCAGGCGGGCAGTGGCAGGCGGGCAGTGGCAGGTGGGCAGAGGCAGGCGGGCAGAGGCAGGCGGGCAGGCAGGCAGGCAGAGGCAGCGGGCAGAGGCAGGCGAACAGACAAACTGGATCTACGCACAGGAAGCGAGGTAGGTACAAAAAACAATCCCAATCGGTAGAGCAGAGACCATAAATGTTGCACTAACAAGAAGCGACAACGAACTGGCCTCGACTTGCTGGGAACGAGGCTTCTTATGCAGCTGGAGATGACTGGCAAGTGGAGCCAGGTGTGTAGCCACGCCCAGGAAGGTGGAGACAAGACAAACACAGAAGGGGAGGGAGAGAGACAGCAGGGAGCAGATCCTGACATGTTGTCATTTATCTTTCCATTCAAACAACCATTTACAGAAAAAGAGGGCATCTTTTTGTGGATAGTTTGAACTAATTACGATTAATTAATTTTTAAGCTGTAATTAACTCGATTAAAAAATGTAATCGTTTGACAGCCCTAGTTTTTAGTGGTAGGGGAAACCAGAGCACCCGGAGGAAACCTACGCAGACACAGGGAGAACACACAAACTCCACTCAGAAAGGTCCTGGTCCGACTGGGATTTGTTGTGAAAACATGCACATGCTGACACACAAACAGAGTGAATAAAGTATGATCACCATAATCATTTTCATTACCAATAATCACATGTACTAACAGTTATAATCAGTAAGAGAGGCAGTATGAAGTTAGAGCGCCCAACTTTTACACTCATATACATGTATAGACCTTTGAAGGGAGAGATATTTTGGGTCCAGACCACTGTTTAGATTCCTTTATATTAGGGAATAAACTTTTTTGGGAATTAACCCTTCGAATACTGGTCAATTATTCGGGATTCTGATCACGTCGATACATTAGATTCGAACCCAGAACCTTCTTGCAGCGAGAAGCTTGCCTCTCAGCCACCAACTATATTTATTTGTTTTACCAGACAGTCTCCTCAGAGGCCAGACCCCCAAAAAGAAAACGATCAGATTCAGAATATTTTTTTCTTTTCCATTTGCAGTAAAACCACATTGGAATACACGTGCAAAGGTCCTCAGTGTGCACAAGACAAGTACAAATAAAACAAGGTTAAAAGTAAGGAAATTAAAACTAATGAAACAATTGTCACTGTGAAATCAACTAAAACAGTTTCAATACAAAGGCAAGATCGTTTAAAGTGCTTTGTTTAGACCAATACCAACTTGTGGAAAAGAGCTGTTCGCAAAACGAGATGTCTGTATTGTTCCCAGGGCCAGAAGAGTCATTGATTATTATTAAATCACAAACATTTTGCAAAATAAGAGAATGATAAGGATGATAACAATAATAAAATACAAAAATAAGTACAATTATATAAAAACAAAACAATTGTTATTTTTTTGATCCTCACAATATTAAAGGCACACCGTGTAACTCTTGGCCACTAGGGGCGCTAGACCTGCAACTTTCACGTTTAGCGCCCCTAGTGGCCACAAGCAACTCAGCACTGTCGCAAAAGTCAAACAGTCAGCCGGTGTCTTTTGAGTGTGTATTCAGACAGCATGCACTGGTGTGTGTGTTCAAACTGTAGAGACATGCCTACAGATATTGAGAGACTCTGCTGTGGTCAGCCTCCAGACCGCTGCATTAGTAATCTACCACACATGGACTTCTATATCCTGGATGAGGGAGTTCTGCGTCTAGCTCGTGCTGCGTGGAATGACATCTTTGCAGTCGATGACATCCAGGAACCAGGTGAAGAGCAGCGCTCATACAGACATGCAGCTTACAGCACGATCCCTTTCGCGTTTCCTCTTTTTAGCCTCCTCCAAAGGTTTAAAATTTTTCCTTGCCTCAGCCATGACCAGGAGTCGAGCAGGTGAAAAATGAGTAGCAAAAGCCTTAGCTCCATGAGTATATCAGCGCCTGTAGCCGTAAAGCAAGTCTTTCTTCCAAGTCACGTGACCTGGTGGCAGACGGTCCGTCTGCTCGAAACTTACATGGGCGGTATTTCAAGAGGGCAGCCCCGCTCGGAGCATTGCAAGTGTCAAGCGCTGTATATTGGCCCAAGTATTCATATAAAATAACTCATGTGTCAACTCTTTAGGTCACAAAGTCCGCGGTGTGCCTTTAAAATACAGTCTTGGGCCGGATGGAACAGCTCCGTGGGCCGCTATGATCACCTCTGACCAACATCCAGGGCTTCTGGGTACATTCCCTGACTTCAATTATAAATACTATTTTCCCTTCTTTTGTACTTGCAGACACATTATGATTTCTTAGTTATTTGGTTAGCACACCTGTGTGTTCTGGTTATTACTGATAAGTTATTCTCAGCTCCTCTGAACCTACAGGTCCAGACGTGAACATACATTGATTACAAATAAAATGAACACAGACAAACACAGTCAATTCAATTGTCACAAACACAGCAGCGTGCATTCAAAGATGGCGTCTCCGAGGAGGTCATGTGACAATTCATTGGTCTTGTAGGGAACTAATGTTAAGTTTAGGGCTGTTGTTTTTAACTATTGTCTACAAATGACTTTTTTCTAATTAAACCTTTAGGGAAAACAGCTCTTCATGTCATTGGATTTTTACAGAAGTCAAGTTGTCTTATGCTTTGTTCTGTGTGTAGCCATGTGGAATCAATTAGTGATTTACTTTAGATAGGTTATTTAGAAGCCTTTTTAGTCCTGTCTGGTAACCAACGTGTGACTGAATTGCCTCTAAAATGAAGGAATTGTATTTTTTCAAATAGATTTGCTGAGTTTAGTCTTTCTCCAATAGATTCAAACTTTATTAGATCTCAATTTGTAACAGCAGTATATTGATAAATGAACATGATGTGTATGTAACATAAAAACTGGCTTCAGCCTCATGTTTTTGGGGCTGATATGGAAAATGACAACCTTCACACTCAGGCCTCACCCTATTATACCTGAGGGCTCCCCCAACTGGATATTTAAGGAAGTGCACCTAAGCCAAGACCTCCCATACAATAAAATGTATAAATAAATACCACAGTTTAGCAGTTATCACAAATACATTTATAATTAGACCAAATGATAGGACAATATTCAACAACTACATTGGCCATAACAAAACCTAAAGATCAGTTATGCATCTACTACTGTATTATTCATTAAGTGTTTATTTTTGAGGCAATAAAACACATGGAATTAAATAAAATAAAAGATACAGTTTATGTATGAGCCATGTCTTGGAACATTATAGAACACTAAACTAAACTTCAAACAAACACATTCATCACAAGTCAATAAACACAGACTGTATCAATATCAAATGTCCTTTATTGGTTCCACAGTGGGGAAATGTCAGTGTTGCATCAGCAGTTACAGAACAGTAAGAATGAGAAGCACACAGCACAAGATAAATGAACAGTTACTCTATACTTTTAAAACACTAATAAAATAAAAATCTATAACTTTAGCAGAATAAAAAAGCAAGTGTAAAATATATTCTAGTGTAAGAAATATGTAGTTGTATGTTTACGTCTGTACATGTTAGCAGCATGAGGCTCTGGGACACAGCACAGTGGATACATGGGCTTCCATATTGCACATTCTGACATTATTCAGATTATTGCACAGATGCACATCAGTTTAGATCAGTGATGACTGTTGTGCTGCATTTTCAAATCACACAATAAATAAACATTTCATTTTCTGGTTGTTTTATGAATACCTAAATCCAATAGATATGAATCCATATTACTAAGAACAATATTTTGACTTACTGTTTCTTAAAGCAACAGCATCAAATGACATGTTTTTGAAGAATATTACAACATATTCATGAGAGACAGTTGTACACACAGCCACACACAAATACGATTCATGAAAAGGTGAGTATATGAATAGTTCTCCCAAAGCTCAAAGAATAAACAGGTAAAAAGTGGAAAAGCTAAATGATTGAAAGACCAATCAATCAATCATTTATTTGTATAGCACAATTCGTGTACAAGGCAATTCAAAGTCCTTCACAAGAAACATTTAAAAACACAGACAAAAATCCATTAAAAAGTCAATAAATAAACAATTATTTGATGTTAAAACAGCGGAGCATAAAAGTATGGGGTTTAAAACTCATTAAAAAGTGGGTTTAAAAGGGAGATCAAAGTAATAAGTTGTACAAAATAGAATCAGTTGTATGCACAGATAAAAAGATTCAAATTAGAATGTGTTATTAAGCTCTGAAAGAATATGAACAAATGAATCGTCATAACTTTATCATAAACCTTTGCTTTGGACTCATCGCTGCTGCAGGTTTCTAACAGCTGTGTTCTGCTCTGGATTACTCTCAGTAACCAGTATAATTACTGAATTGTAACTCAGTTGTATTTATATGTTAAATTAATGAGACCAATTTAAATATTTATGGACAGAATGTGAGTTTATGCCATGGGGCAGAAGAGGTACTTGACAAACATGTGGAGACTTGAGCCCACTCTGCAGGCGAGCAACATGTTCCATTGGCTGACATTTGTGCACAGGCAAATCAAAAGTCCACGTTTTAATTGTTTGATTTTTCACAGAAGGTTCAGGGCAAATATCTCTGAATGCTGCAAAATGATGAATTGTTTCTTAAAGTATTTGCGGAGCATAAACATTTGAAAATAAGTTTCTGTCTCACACTGGTTTAATATTTCTGATCCATCTGTTTGTTCTGTGTAGATTTAAGAACTTGTTTATCCCTCTTGCCATTGGTGTTTTAAACAGATCACTGTAATTCTGCTGTATATCTTTAATTCCTTGTGTATGTGCATCTTTCTGCTGCTGCACCAAATTGTCCCTAGAGGAAAATGAAGAAACCTTGAACCTTGAACCTTGGGCCAGAAACGTTTTTAGATTCAAATTTGTTTTTGTAGCAGCTCGATCAAACCAGGATCAAACCAGGATCAAACCAGGATCAAACCAGGATCAAACCAGGATCAAACCAGGATCAAACCAGGATCAAACCAGGACCAAACCAGGACCAAACCAGGATCAAACCAGGATCAAACCAGGATCAAACCAGGATCAAACCAGGACCAGTGAGCACCATGTGTTTTCTTTACTCATATGTGACGAGGATTGTTCTTCACCTCGGAGTAAACTGAAGCTGCAAATGAAACACAAAACACACAAAGTCAAAAACAAAAAAAAACAAAACCAAAACATGTTGTGATTCACCAAATAAGGTTCTACTCACGACACAGTGGAGCTGGAATAACAGAATAAACACATTCATCACAAACACAGCATTCACTCTGTTGTAGAACCTAAAATGGATGCACTTTTTTACCTTTTCTCTCAAAATTGTTGATCTTGAAAATAAGAAGGAGAACAGCGCACAGCAGGACAACACCAGAGATCGGTAGTGCAACAAATAAAGGCAAGTAGGAACCTTTTTTCTCTGTTAAAAACAAGAAAAACAGTAGATCAAAATGGTTTCATGCTTTAAGTGAAGAAATACAAACAGTTCCATGTTCATACTTTTTTAGTACATCAATAATCATCATGTGTCCTAACTTGCATCTCCACAAACCTGACTTGTAACTTTTCACAATATGGTATATTTCATCAAATAATGTTCCATTGTATTGTTTTAACTTTTCATTTTCATAGAATCAATCCATATTTATATGAAAAGCACATTTAAACACAGCCAAGGCTTGAAAAAGAGCAACAATAAAATTAAAGCCGCAAGCGGCGTCAAACGGCCCTCGCCGCACCGCGCGCACCACCCCGCACCAAGCCGCCCCACACCGTACCACGCAGCACCGTGCAACGGAGGTGGGGCCGCCGTGTGATTTGTTGATGTTGCCATAGAAGAACGTTAGTCAAATTGTAATGAATATGATGATTAGAGAGCTGTTTGGCACCCCATCTAAAACTTTGCCTCAATCTGTAGGGGCCGCTATTGGGCCAATTTCCAATATTTCACTTTCACCTGACCTAAACCCTGGAGTTGAAGATTGGATTCAAGTTTTATGCAAATTAGACTTTATTTGTGCAAACGGGAGCAAAAATAATGTTGTGAAAAACGGCCAATAAACACTCTCAAACAACGTTTCACTGATCAAAAATCCCTGAGGTCATTTTGATGGTACATGTGTTTAGACAATGTGGAGTGATATGGAGGCCGAGGAGGAGTCGCTTTCCAACCGACATGTATGAAAATGATTGCGGATCATTTTTCCATTTTGCAGTGAAATTTATGGGCTTCCTGTTTGTCAGAGGGCGGAGCCATGATAACATTCCGGTCGTATCTTGACTTGAGGAACATGTGTACCGAATTTCATGGCTCTACGACAAACTTGACCAATGAAACTCCCATTGGCTGTTGTAGGTGGCGCTGTTCTGGCATTTTTTGAGTCCCATTAAAATAAACACCCAAATATCAAATTTTCACCAGGTCTGATGTTTGGGCAAAATTTTACAACTTTTCATGCATGTTCAGGGGGTGAAATTAAGGCTCAAAGTGCAGAATTTGACATCTCTCGAGCAACAACAAAAACAATAGGCCCTTTCCCCGTTCGGGCTAGGGGGCGTTAAAATTACTTTACTAAATGTATATGGTCCAAATCAGGACTGTCCTATTTTCATTCAAATGGAAAATGAAGGAGAAACGACATCTGGTTTTGTGCTCAGTCTCTGTATTATTAAAGGTAATTATACAAGTTTCACATTTCTGTTGTTCTGAATATTATCGTTGAAGTTCTTTTGTGTTGTTTCTTTGTATGTGAGGGGACTTTGTATTGTCCCGCCCGACGCACCATTCGTTCTTATGTATCTTTGGTCCAGTGGTGTGATGATGTCGTCTTTGTATCCAGAGAGCCTGAACACACAGTTGTAGCAGCCCCAGTCTTCCGATGGGACAGAGGACACGTCCAGCTCCGCACTGGTCTGGAAGGTCTCGTCGTTGTTGGGCAGGGTCTCCCCAAAGTCCACGTCCTCGTAGTAGAATATGTCTCCATCTTTAGTCCAGAAGATAGAGGCTTGGCCGGGGAAGAAACCAGTGGCGTGGCAGGTGACGGGGGACGACGAGGACTTCTGCAGCAGAGAGATGGACGGGAGGACTGACAAACACAAATCATGGTCATTTTTAGAAACGTTTTATGCATTGGTATTTACTCACAACTTGGACTAGGATATGTTTTTATACTTGGTTATTTGAGTAGAAATGTCATGATTTAGCATCCACCTTAGACCTTTCCTGTAAGACCTCAGCAGATCTGTCCAGACCACATCAAAACAGATAGGCCATGTGCTAGATTGAATGTTTTTAACTTCCGTTCCAGCATCATGGGAAATAGTGCTTTTCAACGTTTTTTGAAAGCTTATAACAATATGAATACAATCTGACCATGCTGACCATGCTGAGCATCATCTTTGAGGTATTCGAATGAAAGTCGACAATCATTAGACATAAAATCAGTTTATGGTAGTTTTTCCAGTTTAGTGCCCAAATTTGAATGTCATAGTTTTTCATAATAATTTTGGACATTAAAATATTTCTTCAATAATTGTAATAATCCAGGAATACATAATTTTTGGTGTGATCTCTATGGCCAAGTAATTTGTTTTTTTTATTAAATAGATAGTTTTGCAATTAGAAACCTCCAAACATGGTACATCAGGCTAAAATGTCCAAATTTCAATCAAAACCACAACTTTGACAACATTTTTTTCATTAACTACAGGGATTCTGTTTGTGGAACTTTTTCACGGCTAATTGTAACTATTTAGCAAGTACAAGTGCAAAACTCATGTCTCTCGGCTTAAGTGTTGCCATGTGTAAATGGATCTATAGCTTTTTAACAGACAGATCTCAGAGAGTGAAAATCAATGACTGTTTTTCAGATGTTGTTTCTGTGAGCACTAGATCTCCTCAGGGATGTATTTTGAGTCCTTTACTTTTTACACTGTACACTCATGATTGTGTGTCTTCCTCAGACTCTAACCTGATCCTTAAATATGCTGATGACACCACCATCATCGGTCTCATCAGTAATAACGATGAATCGTCTTATACATAGTTCCCACAGACCAATGAATGTCACATGACCTCCTCGGAGACGCCATCTTTGATGGCACGCTGCTGTGTTTGTGCATTCCATTAAACAGAAGAATGAGAATAAATGTAGATATTCAAACGCAAATTGGAAAAAAAGGGCAACTTTTGAGCAAATAATTGTATATTAATACAATGGCACCACAGTTTAACGTGCTACGGACATGTTTTACATATTTGATCAAATTATGCAGCAAAAATTAACAAGCAATGCAAACATTTCTCAAAAACTTTAGATTTAATACCAGTTGGAGCTCCATTTAATTATTTTAATTATATTAACAATTAATTTAATTAATGCTAATGCCACACGGACACTCTCGATTGCTGTTATTGTTTATTTCCGCGTTTTTGACCGTATGTTTTGGTGAATGGTGGGCAACTGATTTTTCCAGGCGTAAAGAGCAGTTTATTTTATGACACAGAAGCAATGCTGTTTGTGAACATTGTTTTAGCCCACCATAGAACTATTATTATCTATTTAATACATTTACGTTGCCCTCGAGAGCCTCGGACGCGACACCGATCCTCCTCATAATAAAGTAATCTAACGCTAAATAATGAAACTCTCAAGTTACCAGATATCAGCATACACAAGTTAGTACTGAGTATATTACGTCTGTCAACACATTATAAGATACAATACGCACCTGACACAAAGTGCTCCGAGCATATTCTTGCGTGTTTTGAGGGAGTTTCTTGCCTGTTTATCTTCGCAAGCCATAACCTCCGTCGTTGTTCTGACAAAAGCTTAGTCTTCTCACATTCATGAAGTCTAATGATGGGTATACTGTAAAATCCAAGTTTAACAGAACCTCCGGCACGATTTGAACATCCATTGACCCAGCAGGAGATGACCATTTTCAACTTTATCACGACATTAACACGTTTCAGCTTCTTTTTCTATTGTTTTGCCCACAGCATGCCAACACAAATGGCGCCGGGTCGGCAAATCCCCGTATGTAGTGACGTCATGTGGGAACTATGTATAGAGCCGAGATCCAAAACGTGGTTCAGTGGAGTAAGGCTAACAACCTCCAGCTGAACGCATCCAAAACATTGAACTGGTCTTTGATTTTAGACACAATAGTTCTCATTTGCCTGTCGCAATCGATAACTCCCAAGTGCAGATTGTAGAGGAGTGTAAGTTTCTGGGTCTAACTCTGTCTAACGACTTGAAATGGGTTAAAACACTGACTGAGTCGTTAAGAAAGCTCGTCAGCGTCTCTACTTCCTGCGGAAACTTAGAGAATTTACCACTAACTCTAAGATTCTGCTGAACTTTTATCGCTGCACCATTGAGAGTTTACTTGTTGGTTCTGTGTCTGTGTGGTTCGGTAACATCACAGATAAAGAAAAGAGATCTTTAAACAAGGTGCTCCGCTCTGCAAAGAGGACTGTAGGCTGTGAACTTCCTGTTCTGGAGGTTCTTTATAAATCCAGACTTTTTAACAGTGCCCTGAGAATTATCAATGACTCTTCTGGCCACCCAGGAAAAGCCTTGTTCCAGCTTCTTCCCTCTGGCAGAAGATACTGTTCTCTGAGATGCAGGACATCTCGTTATGCTAATAGTTTTTTTCCACGAGCTGTTATCAGTTTGAACAGAGCACTTTAATGTTTTTGCACTTGTATAGATCTGTTTTAGTTGGTCAACTTCACAGTGACATTTGTTTATTGTTTTTAAAATTTGTTTTATTTTTGTCTTTTAATGTTGTTTTATGTCTGTACTTGTCCTGTGCACACTGGGAACTTTTACTAATGTATTCCAATGTAGTGTTACTGCAAATGGCGAATAAAATGAATCTGAATCTGAATCAGAAAGTATTTTCCACTATCCTGGAACGAAAGATTTTGGTAAGATTTTGTGAGCTCCTCAGACTCCACTTTCTGAGCTGTTCACTGGTCAGGTGACAAGGAGGGCTCTGAGGATACTGGGTAATGAGGCTCACCCTCTTCATGAAGAGTTTAGTTACCTGCCGTCTGGTTCCAGACTCAGAACTCCAATGATTTGGAGCAATAGATATAAACACTCTTTCGTACCTGCAGCGATCTCTACACTAAACTCAAACCAGAGACAGAGGAAATAGGGGTTGAAATTTTTGCTTGGGGGGGACAGTTTTTGTCTTCTTTTTTATCCTGTTTATAAACTGCCATTGACTTGACTGGAAGACTGTATATGGACACCTTGTTAGTCTGAATGTATGGGGAAATTGTTTATTCTATGTCTTTTTCTTTGTATGAGTCCCTGTGCTGTGAACCAAATTGCCCCATCGGGGACATGAAATAAAGTGAAGTGAAAGTCAAATTCTAGACCTCTTTCATGAACTAGCACAGGCCTAAGAACCCTGAGTTGAGTGCGGTGCTCGACTTTCAGTTTTTTGGTTGGATCCATGAACTAAATGTGTTGGCTTTGTCTGGATTGTTACACTACATTACATTTTATTTTCCATTTGCATTTGAGACAAACAAGTTACTTCATTACTTCATATCTACAGAGAGGAGAGCCAACCAGTAATTCAGTATGGAACATGTTCAGAGACTTTTTTTCTCTGACATGTACTTTTCAACAATTTGCATAATGAAATATTTAGCAGCATCAGTGCAAACTATCTGTAAGAAAAGGGAACTGTTCCCATTCACCTGCAGCTTCTGTAAATTCAAAACGCTGCAGCTCGAGTCCTGACAAGAACCAGGAAGTACAATCACATTAGTCCAGTCCTCAGGTCTCTGCACTGGCTTCCTGTGGCTCAGAGAAAAAAACTTTAAAGCAGCTCTCCATGACTCGCATGAAAAAGGATATCTTAGTGCCATATGAACCAACTCTGAGGAGCACAGGGACTGGCCTCCTGCTGGGACTCTGAGGAGCACAGGGACTGGCCTCCTGCTGGGACTCTGAGGAGCACAGGGACTGGCCTCCTGCTGGGACTCTGAGGAGCACAGGGACTGGCCTCCTGCTGGGACTCTGAGGAGCACAGGGACTGGCCTCCTGCTGGGACTCTGAGGAGCACAGGGACTGGCCTCCTGCTGGGACTCTGAGGAGCACAGGGACTGGCCTCCTGCTGATCCTGGCTGAAAACTGTTTTATTAAGCCATTAACAGTGATTTTTATGAATGTGCTTTAAATATTGACATTTTTCTTAAAATGTTTTATGTTTGTGATTGTGTACGATTAATATGTCTTTGTAAAACATTTGATTAGATTGATTTTACACTTTATATCATGTCTCTGTAAACTTGTCTATTGCTGCCCATGATCCCAAAACATGTACAACTGGTTAAACCACCCACTGTTTTATTTACTGACCACCAGAAATAAAGATTACATTTGCCAAAAGTTTGTCTCTGGTTTTTGCTGAACAGGATGAACTGGTTTAAGATCAACCAGGAAGGAGAAAGCTGTGGCAAAGTCATGTGACTGCGTGTGTTTGGTGATGTGTGCAAATAACCCATAAATTAACCCTTAATACACAGAGGGCCCTTAAATACTTATAAAATGATAGTGCACCTTTGACCCTGAAATACAGAAGTATGAAACCAGTAAGATGATTCTGAAAGTAACTCGCTGGAGGCTGTTTTAGTGCACTATAAGAGTCATTCATTATTAAGCAAAACAAGCCAAACTATGAGCTGAGATTCAGTTCTCATGTTGTTGATTCTTCCCATTAGAACATACAGCACACAGCGTGACAGAGAAATCAAATATGGAAGTCATTATTAAAGTAAGACCTTTTTATTTAAATACAAGCAGCAGAACAAAGGAAAAATATGAAAAGCAGTGCACTTCCAGATTCACAAAAAATGTTCAAACAATTTAAATCAATGCAATATCATAAAATATCTACGTCACGCCTCATTATAATATTATGACTGTAATAAAATAATATCTAACAAATATATTTACATATTTCATGTGTATCTTTAGAGTGCTTCATGTTTGCACTGTTTAAAAAGGCAGAAATAAATCGTCCTGTTCTTATTTTCAGATGATGTTTGTTCACATAATATCAAACAAAATATGTTTTTTAAAATTGTGAAAAGAAATCCACATTTTTACATTTAGTTCTATGTATCTACGACGGCTTTAGTTCAATGATACTTTATTGTAAGAGAAAATATAGATTTTTGTATCATCTGCCCTCCAGGTTAATATTAATATGGTTCCATTGTAGATTTGACATTCAATGAAATGTATTTGTGATCAAACTGACAACATAAAAAACATATAATAGTTCAGGCTGAATGAGTGTGGGTTTGTGAGTGCGAATGTGGGACAACGAAAGCAAATTATACCGAAGCTACAATCCGGAGAGGTGTTTAAATTTACCTGTACTGTCCCAACCAAACAAACAGTAAGATAAGATGACCCCTGATCTACAGCCTCAGTCCAGGATCTGCAGCTTCAGTCCTGGGTCTACAGCCTCAGTCCTTGGTCTACAGCCTCAGTCCTGGATCTACAGCCTCAGTCCTGGATCTACAGCCTCAGTCCTAGATCTACAGTCTCAGTGCTGGATCTACAGCCTCAGTCCAGGATCTACGGCCTCAGTCCTGGATCTACAGCCTCAGTCCTGGATCTACAGTCTCAGTCCTGGATCTACAGCCTCAGTCCTGGATCTACAGTCTCAGTCCTGGATCTACAGTCTCAGTCCAGGATCTACAGTCTCAGTCCTGGATCTACAGTCTCAGTCCTGGATCTACAGTCTCAGTCCAGGATCTACAATCTCAGTCCTGGATCTACAGTCTCAGTCCAGGATCTACAGCCTCAGTCATGGATCTACAGTCTCAGTGCTGGATCTACAGCCTCAGTCCAGGATCTACGGCCTCAGTCCTGGATCTACAGCCTCAGTCCTGGATCTACAGCCTCAGTCCTGGATCTACAGCCTCAGTCCTGGATCTACAGCCTCAGTCCTGGATCTACAGCCTCAGTCCAGGATCTACGGCCTCAGTGCCGGATCTACAGTCTCAGTGCTGGATCTACAGCCTCAGTCCTGGATCTACAGCCTCAGTCCTGGATCTACAGCCTCAGTGCTGGATCTACAGTCTCAGTCCTGGATCTACAGCCTCAGTCCTGGATCTACAGCCTCAGTGCTGGATCTACAGTCTCAGTGCTGGATCTATAGCCTCAGTCCTGGATCTACAGCCTCAGTCCTGGATCTACAGCCTCAGTGCTGGATCTACAGTCTCAGTGCTGGATCTACAGCCTCAGTCCTGGATCTACAGCCTAAAGTCACACTGCACTTCAATAGTCAAAGCCTCTATGCAAACTTTGACCACATCAAAAGCTTCTTAAAACAGTTTTCCACACCATTCAGTGTCATTCTAATCACAGAAACATGGATTAATAATGACAGAGAATTAGAGTTTTCTATTGATGGTTATGAATTTATAAGTATGAACAGAAGGAACAAGCATGGTGGGGGCGTAGCTATGTTTATAGACTCCAACTATAGTTATAAAGTAATGGGAAATAAGACAATGGTGGTGGATGATACACTTGAATGCCTTACTGTTGAAATTACAAGGCAAAAAAAGAAAAATATTATTGTGAGTTCTATTTACAGAACACCTGGCTCTGATATAGATGTTTTTTCTAATTGGATGGAGGAGTACTTTTCAGGATTAAATCATAAAGTCATGTTTGTGGGGGGAGACCTCAACATCGATTTGTTAAACCCATATAAACATAAAAAGACGGACGAATTTATAAATACTTTATTTAGTATAGGTCTGTTTCCTCTAATAACCAAACCTAGTAGAATTACAACCCATAGTGCCACCTTGATTGATAACATTTTCTCAAATGAAATAGAAAGTGATACAGTCAGCGGGTTAATTATAAATGACATTAGTGATCACCTTCCAGTTTTCGTTATGAATAAAAATGGATATTCAAAAGAGGAAGAGGAAAACAAGTATTGGTATAGAAGGGTAAAAACAGAGAAAACTATAGATGCATTTAAAAAGGAGCTTTTAGCTCAAGACTGGAGTATTGTGTACAGAGAGAATGACACGAATATGGCTTATGATGAGTTTATGCGAGTATTTCAAAAAGTATACAACAAAAACTGCCCAATGAAGAAATACTGTAAAAACAGAAAGTGTAAAGAAAAAACACCATGGATGTCTAAAGGTTTACTAAATGCTTGCAAGAAAAAAAATAATCTTTACAAAAACTTTATAAATAACCGAACAAAAGAAGCTGAGGATAAATATAAGAAATATAAAAACAAACTGACAGGTATCATTAGAAAATGTAAACAGGATTATTATAATACATTGTTAGATAGCAATAGGAATAATATTAAAGGTTTATGGAATATCTTAAATAGTATAATTAGAAATAAACCAAGAACGATTAATTATCCAAAATATTTCAAAGATGAGGATAACACGTTAAATAATATGAATGAAGTCGTCGAAACATTTAATAAATTCTTTGTAGATGTTGGACCAAACCTTGCTGCAAAAATTGCAAACGTTGAGAATTATAATTGTGATCTGATAGAAGTAAATCCTATGTCCCTGTTCCTCAAACCTGTGGAGGAAAAGGAGATACTGGACATTGTTAAAGGGTGTAAAAATAAAACTTCGACCGATTACCATGACATGGATATGAAAACTTTAAAAACTGTTATTGAAAGTATCTCTAAGCCGTTAAAATACATCTGTAACTTATCGTTGCAAACTGGACAATTTCCGGATAGTATGAAAGTAGCAAAAGTGATTCCTCTGTTCAAGGCAGGAGATAAACATCTCTTTACAAACTATAGGCCTGTTTCCCTTTTACCGCAATTCTCTAAAATCTTAGAAAAGGTTTTTAACTCTAGACTTGACAACTTTATTGAAAAGTGTAATTTACTCTCGGACAATCAGTTTGGTTTTAGGAACAATCACTCAACCTCACACGCGCTCTTTGATATAACTGAAGAAATAACTAACGCTGTAGATAACAAGAAATATGCAATAGGGTTATTTATTGACCTGAGTAAAGCGTTTGATACAATAAACTATGATATATTAATTAATAAACTAGAACATTATGGGATTAGGGGGGTAGCTCTACAGTGGGTTACCAGTTACTTAAAAAATAGAAAACAATGTGTGAAAATCGGTGATTATCAGTCGAGTTGTCGACAAATTGTCTGTGGTTTACCTCAAGGTTCTATTCTGGGCCCAAAATTGTTTAATTTGTATATTAATGATATTTGTAAAACATCTGAAGTACTTAAATTTATCTTGTTTGCTGACGATACAAATATTTTTGCATCAGGAGACGACTTGCAACAGCTGTGTCGGATTGTTAACTTGGAACTCAAGAGTGTCAATAAGTGGTTCAAACAAAACAAATTATCTCTAAACCTGAGTAAAAGCAAAATGATGATATTTGGCAACTGTAATTACAAGCCTCAGGAAGCAATTCAGATAGAGGGTGTTGTTATCGAGCAAGTGCATGAAATAAAATTCCTTGGTGTGATTATTGATGACAGAATTACTTGGAAATCCCACATTAAATATATATCTACGAAAATTTCTAGAAGCATTTCAGTAATAGCAAAAGCAAAGCACATTTTAAACATCAAAGCTCTACATACCTTATACAGTTCTCTGATTTTGCCCTACTTATATTATTGTACTGTGGTTTGGGGTAGTACTTATAAAAACACAGTTATCCATCCATCCATCTTCTTCCCCTTAATACATTTCTGGGTCAGGGGGGTGGCAGTCAGAGCTGCACCCAATTCACTTAGCACCAGCCCCTCACTGATCCTCTGCAGGTGGTGAGTCCACAGGAGGACGGCTGCTCTGTCAGTGACAATACGGTCTTGATTTTTCAGCGGGGGTTTCAGGCAATGCAGGGTTAAGTGTCTTGCCCAAGGACACAACAGCAGCAGTCATCAGTGGGAGTCGGTGGAGAAGGTCCCGTGGTGGGCTTGAACCCACAACCTTCAGGCTCAAAGGCCAGTGCTGTTTGTGCCTAGTGCAGAACGGTAAAGAACGAATGCGGAGACACGAGTTAAGTTTAAGGTGCTTTATCGAACTGAGCAAGACTGCGGCGCCGTGGCCGTATACAAGACACACGCGCATGCGCGCTGGCGGTGCTTATGATAGGATGACAGAATACATAAAGCACTAGACTCTGTAACATCTTCCTTTTCCAAAACAGCTCAAGAATGCTATAACAAAATTCCTAAAGTTGCCTGGTATAAACATAACATGGCAGTAAACAACAAACAACATTTTAAAACTAACCAATGCAACTAAAATAAAACAGAGGAACCATATGAAATATAAACTATTATAATACCGGTTACCAGTCTATTCTTTTAGGTGGCCTTGAAAGGCGCCCTGCCCTGGTGCGTACCAACCCCTCCCCTACACCTACAGTAACAGTGGAGGCTACAGGCGTGTGAGTAGCTGGTGAGGCCTCTACTACGGGCCTAGCAGGGCTTGAACCGGCAATAGTAGGATAAGCCCCCATCTCCCTTACTTCTGAACTGACAGTAGGTACACACTCACTGTCCCCAAATCCCAGAGCAGCCCCTGATTCTGCCACTCTAAGATCCACTCTGTTGCGGCGATAAACAGAACCGTCCATGTCCACAAGGTAAGACCGAGGCGCGACCTTGCCAAGACAGGTTCCAGCTCTCCATATGCGGGAGGTGTCGCCAGGAGGAGGCTTCATTCTGACAGTCTCTCCTACCTCCAGCTCCGGTAGGACCCGCGCTGACCGGTCGTAGAACGACTTGGCGAGCTGCCTCCTGTACTGAAGCTTCTCAGTAACTCCTGTCACCACCACCGGCTCAAGGAGTTTGTTGGTCACAGGAATGGATGTCTTAAGGCGACGGGACATGAGACGTTGCGCTGGGCTGCTGTCCATGTTTTCTGTCGGAGTATTGCGCCAGTGCAACACTGCTTTCCAAGGGTCGTTTCCATCCCGAGCGGCCTTGCGAAGCAGATTCTTTGCAATCTTGACGGCAGATTCAGCCTTACCATTTGCTTTGGGATACCTTGGAGAGGATGTCACATGCTCAAATTCCCACTCTGAGGCGAAACGAGCAAATGCGGAAGTAAACTGAGGGCCATTGTCTGTGATGACCCTGTCCGGCTGGCCATGTCTTGCAAACTGAGCCTTACAGCGCTTGATCACAGTCTCTGCTGAAAGATCAGGGAGGAGCTCAATCTCCCAAAAGTCAGAATAGTGATCTACAATGAGCAGGTAGTCCTTGCGCCCGTGAGTAAAGAGATCCATGCTGACTATTTGCCATGGCCTTGTTGGGAGTGGATGTGAGAGCATAGTCTCTTTCTGCTGGCCATGTGCGTACTCATTGCATGTAGTGCAAGTGCTGACAAAGTCTTTGATCTCTGACTGCATGTTCGGCCAGAACAATGTCTCCCGAGCTTGCCTGTAACATGCTTCTCCCCCAATATGGCTAGCATGAATGCGTGCCAACATCTCTGTACGGAGTGATTTGGGAATAACCACTCTCTGACCCCTGAATAAGATGCCATTCTGAGCACTGATCTCATCACGATAGGGCCAGTATCCTCTAATAATGACGGGCACCTGCTCTTTGAGATCCGGCCAGCCTGTGGTGACTGTGTACCTCAATGCCTGCAGACCTTCATCATTGTCTGTGTGTCGCCTGATTTGTTCCAGGCGTTGGCCCGTTACGTTCAGGTAATCTGCTTGGTTCACCTGTTGCAGGTCCTCCTGGACCTCCTGCAGAAAACAGATAGCATGTCGCTGGTAGTAGTTAGCATTGCTGGCACAGGCCGCTGTTGCCCGACTGAGTGTGTCGCTGATAAACATTTCCTGTCCCGGTTTGTATACTACACAGAGACTGTAGCTTTGAAGAGTCATGAGCATGCCCTGAAGCCTTTTTGGAGCGCTGAGGAGAGGCTTGCCGAAAATTGAAATTAAGGGCTTGTGGTCTGTTTCTGCTGTGATAGCGTCACGGCCATACAAATAGTAGTGAAATCTCTGACATGCAAAGACAATGCTGAGACATTCTTTTTCAATCTGTGCGTAATTCCGCTCAGTAGCGGTGAGAGCTCGTGAAGCGAATGCAACAGGCTGTCCCTCTTGCATGAGACAGCAGCCAAGCCCGCTCTGACTCGCGTCACTCTGGATTGTGACAGGCTGGGACACATCATAATATCGAAGTACTGGCACAGTTGTAGCTAAAGACTTAAGTTCTTGTATGGCAGCTTCATGTTTTGGCAGCCAATGCCAAGGAGTGTCCTTGTCTAGCAAACGTCGCAGAGGCTCACAGACACTTGAAAGGTGGGGCATGAACTTGGCCAGATAGTTTGCAAACCCCACCAGCCTCTGTACTCCTTTTGCATCGGTAGGATTTGGCATATCGATTATCGCCCTCACCTTTTCCGGATCGGGTTTAAGACCTGCAGCTGAGAGAATGTGGCCATGAAAACGGACTTCGGACATCTTGAATTGAAGCTTTTTTAGTCCAAGCCTCAGCTTAACTTCTCTGCAGCGATTTAGCAGAGCCAGAAGTTTGGTGTCATGGTCGGATTCTGCTTCCTCGTCCGTATCACCGCAGCCCACCACCAGAATGTCGTCAGCAATGGGCTCGATGCCTTCCAGACCTGCCAGTAGCTCATGCTGCTTTCTTTGATATACTTCCGGTGCTACAGACACACCAAAAGGCAGTTTTAGCCAGCGTTTTCTACCCCATGGTGTCCAAAAGGTAGTCATGAAACTGCTCTCTGTGTCTAGCTTACACTGCAAAAAGGCATCTCTGGCATCAACCAACGTGAAGGTCCTTGCTTTGGGCAGCTTGTATAATACATCTTCCAGAGTCGGCATTATGTAGTGGGAGCGCCGTAGAGCCTTGTTCAGAAACTTGGGATCAAGACAAATTCTCAGTTTTTGTGGTCTGCTCACAATGACCATGTTACTGATCCAGTCTGTTGGCTCTGTGACAGGTGCAACATGCCCCTCTGCTTCATATTTGTCAAGCTGGGCCTTAACTGCAGTTTTCAGAGCAATGGGGACATTGCGGGGAGCACTTTGTACTGGCTTCACGTCCAGATCTAGATCGAAATGTACTTCGCCAGGTAATGCCTCCACGGGTGAAGTAAACACATCGTTGTAATTGCTGACCACAGTGTCTTTGGTCAAATGTCCCTGCTCGCACCACAGTGTCCACCTTGAGTGCATCTTCCGGAATAGTGAAACGTATGAAACCAAGACGTTCACAGGTATCGCCTGACAGGAGAGGCAACTGACCCTTTCTTACTATCTCAAAGGAGAGCTTGTGCTTAATGCCTTGGATCGTGCATTCTGTGTCAAAAACTCCCAATGACTTTATTATCTCCCCCGAGTACAGTCTGAGGCTGGCATTACTTTGGCGTAGTTTTCCTTTGGATGAGAGCTTTTTCTTATCTTTCAGTGTCATTATGTTGCAGGTGGCTCCCGAGTCAAGCTGGCACCTCTGTGATTTGCTGTTGAACTTTAGTGTGACGAACCATTTTTTCCCTTTAGTCTGTCCCACTGCACTGACTGACTCAATCATGTACAGATGTGTCTCCTCCTCACTGCTCTGCCCTGACTCAGCTTCCCCGTCCATGCAGAGCACCTTGCCCGTGGTACTGCCCCGTTTGCTTTTCATACAGACTTTAGCAAAGTGATTATTAGTCCCACACAATTTACATTTCTTCCCGAAAGCAGGGCAGTGGTCCCTGCCTCTCGTGTGGGTGTTTCCACAATACCTGCAGTTGGGGTCCACCGCCTTGTTTGAGTCGCTCTGCCTCGCTTTGAAGTGCTTAGCTGGTTGCCTGACAGCAGAGTGCACTGTCTCGGTGTGCATTACGTGTGTCCCAGCAGTTTCCATTACTCGCATCCTTAAATCTGTCTGCTCTGCAGCACGACACATCTCGATGGCTGTGACTAAGTTAAGCTCCTTTTCCCTCAACAGTCTGCGCCTGGAGCTCTCACTTGCAATGCCCAGCACAATTTTGTCACGTATCATTTCGTCTTTTAATTGTCCGTACTCACACGTTGATGCTTTCTCTCTTAGCCTGGTCACAAAGGCGTCTATTGATTCACCGTCCTCTTGTTTGCAACATCCAAACAGATATCGCTCATAGATTATGTTTTTTGCCGGTTTGAAATATCTCTCCAGGGCGCTCAGTATAGCCGCGGGATCCTCTCTCTGCTCCGCCGTGAGGTTTAGGTTGTGACGGTAAACATGTCTGCATTCGCTGCCCATAACACTGCGGAGTGTTGCCGCCTGTATTTTTTTGTCCTTTTCCGCCACTCCAGTCACAAGAACATAGTCTTCATATTCCGCGCGGAAAACATCCCAGTTAGTGCTCCAATCGCCCGTGAAGCCCATCACAGACGGCGGGGGAATGTTAGCCGCCATGCTCACTGCGAACGCGGTGCCTGTTGATTCCTCTGCGTCGGACATGAATGGCGCCAGCCGCCCGGTTTGGAGAACACAGCCACGTATTACAGGTACAACGAATGGTACAACGTAGTCACCACTTCTGACACCATGTTTGTGTCTAGTGCAGAACGGTAGAGAATGAATGCGGAGACACGAGTTAAGTTTAAGGTGCTTTATCCAACTGAGCAAGACTATGAGGACACATATAGTATATAAGACACACGCGCATGCGCGCTGGCGGTGCTTAAGACACAAAACCTACACGATCAAATCACCCCGACAATACCCCCGAGGAGAGCAAAGGATCACGGGTAAAGAAAAAGGCTGAGAGTGGGGATCTCGTGTCCTGCTCAATTTACACCATTTCAAACCAATCACAGTCTGTATCTGGGCAGATGTGGCTTGGCAGGTTTGAAGAGAAAGTGAAAGTAAACTCTGATGGCGTCTTTTCTAGTATTTCAATGTTTTTACACTGATATTAAATAGTTTACGAGTCATTAATATTCTCTAGTGAAGTCAGTGATCAGCGTTTTAAAAAGTGGTGTCAAGCTTTTGGCTACTTTTGGTCATTTAACCCAAAACGAGGACACCTGAGCAAGTGCAGTCGGCTATAGGCTGTCTACCAAATGACTTTTTTTAAAATATTTATGGGAAAACAGTTATAATTTTACAGAATGACTTTTTTGTGTGTAGCCATTGTGTAATTTGAACCTTTAGGAAACATCTGCCAATTGGAGAATAGTATTTTCCATTTAACACTAGTCATTAGTCTTTCTTCATAGATTCAAACTTTATTAGATCAGATGTGTATACAGCAGGCTTTATAAAGCTTTTCATGTTTCGTTTTTTTAAGTCATGAAATTAGCTTCAAGTGGAACAGATGAAGCCATGCTAACTATATCATTGAACTAATGAACATGATGTGTATGTAACATATAACTGGCTTAGCTCTTGTTGGGGTGAATGGGAATTCGACAAGTTAGAAATTAACTGTGAACTGACCAAATGAACTACTGTAGTGACTTTTGCAGCCTGGGCTTTCTCTTCTATGGTCGTGCAGGTGTTGTTGATGAATGTCCAAACTTATGATATAGTTACAATGATTTTCATGTAGTTATTGTTTGACTGGTTCCACTTTTGTCATTTTAACATCACCAGAAATCTTCACATTCACTGTACACCATTAATCACCAAAAAAAACAAACCTTCACACTCAGGCTACCTCTTATTATACCTGAGGGCTCCCCCAACTGGATATTTTAGGAAGTGCACTAAGCCAGACCTCCCTTACATATAACATGTATAATTAAATACCTCAGTTTATCTGTCTGTTATCACAAATTAATATAATGTGACCAATGTATAGGACAATAGTCAACAACTTTGGCCCATTCAAACCGAACGATCAGTGATGCATCTATACTGTATTATTTCATTAAGTATTTATTTTTGGAGGCATATAAAACTCATGGAATTAAATAAAATAAAAAGATACAGTTTATGTATGAGCCATGTCTTGGAAAATTATAGAACACTAACTAAACTTCAAATAAACACATTCATCACAAGTCAATAAACATCAGGAATGTTTCAATACAATGTCTTTATTGGTTCACAGTGGGGAAATGTCAGTGTTGCGATTCAGCAGTTACAGAACAGTAAGATTGAGATGCACATACTGGCACAAGATAATTTAACAATACTCTATACTTTTAACACACTAATAATATAAATCTATAATTTGCAGAATAAAAAGCAAGTTGTAAAATATATTCTAGTGTATGAAGTATGTAGTAGTATGTTTAGTCTGTACATGTTAGCAGCATGAGGCTCTGGGACACAGAACAGTGGATACATGGGCTTTTCCATATTGCACATTCTGACATTATTCAGTTTATGTCAGATGCTCATCAGTTTAGATCAGTGGATGGACTGTTGTGCTGCATTTTCAAATCACACAATAAATAAACATTTTCATTTTCTGGTTGTTTTATTAATACCTAAATCCTAAAGTATGAATCCATATTACTGAAGAAAAGATTTTGACTTACTGTATCGTAAAGCAACAGAATCAATATGACATTTTTTGTAGAATATTACCAACATATTCATGAGAGACAGTTGTAAACAGCCACACACAAAATACGATTCATGAAAAGGAAAAGGGGAAAAGCTAAATGACCTGAAAGACCAATCAATCAATCATTTATTTGTAGTTTAGAGCCTGTACTTCACCAAGGCAACGCCAAAGCGCTTCACATCCCTATCACATCATGCATAATATCAAAACACCATTTAGAGCACACGAATATTAAAAACATAAAAATAAAATCAAAAAATTAAACCCTTTAAACATTAAAATCACAAGATGGGACTTAAAATCATAAATAGTCACAGTGCATAAAAAGATTAAAGATAAAACAAAGATGAAAAGATAAAATCATTCAGTTGTATATGCGCAGCTAAACGAATTGTTTTGAGCCTAGATTTTAATAGATGCCCGAGTAGACGCCTGTCTCACTATTCTCGGAAGGACGGTTCCCAGACTCTTGCCGCATAATCTGAAATTGCAGTTTGCCCATGTCTGAGTACCGACTCTGGGCACCAACAGGGGGTCAGTCCTGTGCTCTCTGACGTCCGGGTCGGTTCATTTGGCACAAAACATGTCGTGGATGTACTTGGCGGGAGACCATGGACGAGCTTGTACACATGGAAGCTGCTTTGAAGTCTATCTTCTGAGGAACAGGAAGCAGTGCAGAGACTGAGATCTGGACTAATGTGGTCGTACTTACTAGTTCTGTAGGACTCGAGCAGCTTGCATGTTGAATTGTACTGCAGCTGTTTTAGCAGCTGTTTGGAGCGACTGTGAACAAGCCATTGCAGTAGTCAACCGACTGGAGCAAAAGCGTGTATAAAGAGTCTCAGTCTGCCTTAGGACACGATTGTTTTTAATTTTAGCAATGTTTTTTAAGGTGGTATTAAGCTGCTGATGTTACAGTTTGTTTGTGGTCTTTTGAATTTTAATTCTGAGTCATTATCACTCCTAGATTTTTACCTGATTTCGAGGGTTGTAGAGAGTGGGCTGGAGGTGACAAATAAACGCTCTCTCTTTGATTTCTGGGGTCGAAAAACAATTTATTCAGTTTGGCGGTGTTTTGTTGGAGAAAGTTATTTGCATCCAATCACGATTTGCTGGTCACAGTGGAGGAGCGAGTCCACTGGGTTCCATTGCTCTCCTGCTGTCAGGGACCACATAGACCTGGGTGTATCGTCAGGTTAATGTGATATAAGAGGACAATTATTACTGAGAATCAACTGACTAGTGGCAACATGTATATATTAAACAGAAAGAGGACCCTGATTTGACCCTGTGGCACTCGCAGGTCAGGGTTATCAAAATTACATTTTTAATTGACCAAATGATAGGACATATCAACAACTACATTGGCCATAACAACACCTAAATATTCAGTGATGCATCTACTACTGTAGTATTCATTGAGTAATTATTTTTGAGGCAATAAAAACATGGAAATTAAATAAAATAAAGATACAGTTTATGTATGAGCCATGTCTTGGAAACATTATAGGAACACTAAAACTAAACTTCAATAAACATATTCATCACAATGTAATAATCACAGGACTGTATCACTAATCAAAATGTCCTTTATTGGTTCCACAGTGGGGATAAAGGTCAGTGTTGCATCAGCAGTTACAGAACTGTAAGTTTGAGAAGAACACAGCACAAGATAAATTAAACAATTTTCTTACTTTTAAAACAACTAATAAATATAAAATCTATAACTTTAGCAGAATAAAATAGGCATGTGTAAAATATATTCTAGTGTAAGAAATATGAAGTTGTATGTTTAACGTCTGTAATTGTAGCAGAATGAGGGTCTGGGACACCGCACATTGGATACATGTGCTTTCCCATATGCGAACATTCTGGAAATTATGCAGATTATTGCACGATGCACATTGTTTGATCAGTGATGACTGTTGTGCTTGCATTTTTCAAATCACACATAATATACAAATTTTCATTTTCTGGTTTGTTTTATGAATACCTAAATCCAATAGATATGAATCATTATTACTAGAACAATATTTTGGACTTACTGTTCTTAAAGCAACAGCATCAAATGGGAATTGTTTTTGAAGATTATTACAACATATTCATGAAGAGACAGTTGTACACTCTGCCACACACAATACGATTCATGAATGGTGAGTATATGAATAGTTCTCCAAAGTCAAGAGATTAAACAGGTAAAAGTGGAAAAGCTAAATGACTGAGAAGACGAATCAATCAATCATTTATTTATATAGCCTCAATTCATGTACAAGGCAAAATTCCAAAGTCTTCACAAGAAAATTAAATACACAGATAAATCATTTAAAACGTCAATAAATAATAAAAATTTATGATGTTAAAACAGTAGGAGCATAAAGTTTAGGGGTTTTAAACTCATTAAAATGTGGGCGTTTAAAAGGGAGGATAAAGGAATAAGTATGTACAAAATTAGATTCGTTTGTATGCACAGATAAAAGATTCAAATTAGAATGTGTTATTAAGTCTGATAGAATATGGAAACAAATAATCGTCATAACTTTATCATAAAACTTTGGTTTGGACTCATCGCTGCTGCTGGTTTCTAACGGCTGGTTCTGCACTGGATTTTACTCTCAGTAAACCAGTTATAATTACTAATTGTAACTCAGTGGTATTGAATATGTTATAATTAATGAGACCATATTGAACATATTTTTCGACAGAATGTGAGTTTATTGCCTTGGGGCAGAAGAGGTACTTGACAATTCTTGTGGAGACTTGAGCCCACTCTGCAGGCGAAGAACATGTTCCATTGTATGACATGGTGCAAAGGCAAAATCAAAAGTCCACGTTTAATGGTTTGTTTTTTCACGAGGTTCAGGGCCATATTTGAATGCTGCCAAAATGATGATATTGTTTCTTAAAGTAATTTGCAGATCAGATACATTTGAAAATAAGTTCTGTTCATCTGGGTTTCATATTTCTGATCCCATCTGTTTGTTCTGATGATAGATTGAAGAACTTGTTTATCCTTATTGCCATATTGGTTGTTTTAAACAAGATCACTGTAATTCTGCTGTTATATTTTAATTCATTGTGTATGTGCATCTTGCTGCTGCTGCACCAATTGTCCTGAAGGAAAATGAAGAAACCTTGAACTTGAACCTTGGGCCAGAAGAAACGTTTTCAGATTTCAAATTTGTTTTTGTAGCAGCTCGATCAAACCAAGGATCAAACCAGGATCAAACCAGGATCAAACCGGGATTAAAACCAGGGATCAACCAGGACGACCCAGGACGAACAAGGATCAAACCAGGACCAAACCAGGGACCAAACCAGGATCAAACTGGTTAAAAAAGGATCAAACCAGGATTCAAAACCAGGAACGAACCAGGGACCAATCAGGATCACTTTCATGTATTTTATTTGAAAATGGAATCAAAGAATCACATTTGATCCAGTCGGGCATGTGGAAGCCTACATTGCTCATTTTGTTTGCTATTTGTTCATTTATAAATGTTGTTCTTGTCCTGAGACTTCTAGTGGGCCATTATAATTCTGTTATGTTTCTATACTGAGTTAAATGTGAATCAAAGCAATGTTGTTTTAGTTGAATGTATATCATAACAACAAATGGAGGGCATAACATGTGTGATCTATAATGTTATTGGCTTAGGTAGTCCGATTAAAAGGAAGAAAGAGCTGAACCCATTGAAAAGCTTAACTGTGCCATAGCAATGCTTCAGGAAACGCATCTTTCAGACGAGGAACACATGAAGCTGAGGAGAGAATGGGTAGACCAACAATATACTGTAGCTCCTCGCACCAAAGCGGGAGAAAAAGAGCGGTTGCTATCCTTTTTAACAAGTCAGTGTGTTTTTGCCATGAGAAAACTATCAGTGACAAAGAGGGGAGATTCCTTATGGTGAGTGGATGTATAGGGGGCGTTAAAATTACTTTACTAAATGTATATGCTCCAAATGAGGACTGTCCTATTTTCATTCAAATGGAAAATGAGGGAGTTTCACATTTCTGTTGTTCTGAATATTATCGTTGAAGTTCTTTTGTGTTGTTTCTTTGTATGTGAGGGGACTTTGTATTGTCCCGCCGACGCACCATTCGTTCTTATGTATCTTTGGTCCAGTGGTGTGATGATCTCTTCTTTGTATCCAGAGAGCCTCTGAACACACAGTTGTAGCGGCCCCAGTCTTCCGATGGGACAGAGGACACGTCCAGCTCCGCACTGGTCTGGAAGGTCTCGTCGTTGTTGGGCAGGGTCTCCCCAAAGTCCACGCCCTCGTAGAATATGTCTCCATCTTTAGTCCAGAACAAAGAGGCTGTGTCGGGGAAGAAACCAGTGGCGTGGCAGGTGACGGGGGACGACGAGGACTTCTGCAGCAGAGAGATGGACGGGAGGACTGACAAACACAAATCACATGGTCATTTTTAGAACGTCATTTTTAGAAACGGTTTATGCATTGGTATTTACTCACAACTTGGACTAGGATATGTTTTGAGCGTTCATTTTTTTATGACCGACGTATGACGCGAAGCTGCGCTTAATTTAGGATGATTTCTATTTTTAGTGCGCGCACCCAACGCACTTTGCTATTGAAATCTATGTTAAAACAGCATTTTTCTAGCGGGCCCGTGGCTCTAGATCGCATATCACACACAAAGAACGTGTATCTTAAACATAGCAGGAGGAAGCAGCGTTTTTACAGTGTATTCCTGGACATCGTTTTTTTTTTTTTTCAGTCTGCGTCTTGGCCAAACCAGGAACAGAGACATGAAGACAAACAATGGCATGTGATTTGTGTTGCTCTACATCAGTACTCTGGCCCGTACTGTCTCTACACTGCTCCATAGATAACACAGGGAGTGCATCAGAAAGACGTGGGACCTGCGCGCACGGGCTGTGTAGATATACTCAAAAATGTTACGCGCAGAGAGCGCGTCACTGTAAACCCGAACTTGTTATCATTACTAAAGCCGGTTAGGGTAACTGATTGCATAAAGATTTTAGGTTTTTACAAAATCAAAAATTTAAAGCTTTTATGTTTGTTAACGCGAATCTTTAGTTTTTGCAGAACGATCTCTGATTAATCTAGTAATGATTACAGTTATTAGCTTTAGCACAGCATACTCAGATCTTTTGCCATCATCACTAAACTGACATTGTTTTTAATTTCATTCCATATACTTTATTACTGACATTATTTATTACCTATTGTTTGTATAAATTTTGTAACTATTGTAATTAACCAAAAAATAATGAATCTAAATGGATGTTTTAATGTCTTGTTATTGTAAGACAGATAATTGTTGTTTTTTTTTTTGAACCATATGCAGGAGAGAGTGTCCATGCACTGTTCATATGGCAGGACGTGAGTAACCTGTCCAACAAACACCTAGAAACACTGTTCTGTAAATATGACATCACAATAATATATTGTGGACAACAATAGTGAAGATGTTTTTGTCTTAATGAAAAAATGAACAGAGTCATATTAATCTCATGTGATTAAAACTATCAAAACTGTGAAATACTTTCGTTATGTAAAATTACAGTCTCCGCTGCACATCCTAATTTATACCTGGCCCTGTGTCTGAGGAAAACGAATTGTGGTTATTGTTTACAATTCAATGCTAAAACACACCTAAAACATACCAAAATTATTTGAGGGAGAATCACTGCTCTTACTGAATATCCTCAATCTTCGGTCAACAGATGAAAACATTAGGAAAATTAAATTAATGTGCTGCAATCAGCTCTGGCACCTGGAAAAGATAACAGTGTTATTTTGGCAGTATTTGTGCAACTTATGGTGTGTTTGAGCGAACTGCCAAGTGAAATCATGTACAAGCTAACGTAGCTAACCGGCTAACAGAGCTGGTTGTACTTTGAAGCAAACTTTCATTACCTAAGTTAAATTACGGTGGATGTGTTGACACTCTAGTTGCTCAGGTTCTGGATTAGTGAAATAATTGAGTGTGAAAAAACATGTTATTGGGACTTCCACAGGGGGAGTCAGTTGGTTTTGCTGGAGCTGTCGACGGTGGCGGTTGAGATTTGAACAGACTGGCCCTTAAGCCCCGCCCCACACGTAAGCCCCGCCCTCACTCGGTAAGAAACCTTAACATGTTCTGCTGTGAGAGCACAGAGCTCTGGAGTGCAGGTCAGGACTGGGGGATTTACATGTTAAATACAGCACAGCTCTTTAGTTCTCCATTGAGATTGGTTAAATCTAGTTATTTTTAGTAATATTACTAAATATAAAAAAGCTGAAAAAATTAGGGTTTACAGGGCAGTAAAGCGTACGCGCTGTTTAGCCTTACTGTGTAATTTTCCCTGTAAGACTAACACGCCAACAGAACGATTGTCTGCATGTTGTGTTTGTGTTTTGCAACCTGTGCGTAACCTGTGCGCGGCAAAAATACAGCGCAGGAGGTGTCCTGTCTCCTCCTGTAAACTTAACTAAAATGAAAAGTGAATTAAGCTGGGGTATGTAAATTTCCCCCTTTCATTAACGCCTCATGTTGGTTTTGCCAAAAAGGCAAACTGATTTTAGTACATTTGGTTTGGAATGACAATGTGTATTATATTTGATAATCTCATTTATTTCAATTGGATGGTGGATTTGAAAGAGAATGTTAATAAAAATGCGATTAATCGTGAGTTAACTCACCATTTCTTGTGCGATTAATCAACTAAAAAAATTGTAAAGTTTGACAGCCTTAGTTTTTATACTTGGTTATTTGAGTTGAAAGTCATGATTTAGCATCCAGCTTAGACCTTTCCTGTAAGACCTCAGCCTGGCCGTCCTCTAAGGGCTGTGCGAACCTGTGCCGTCGCACAGGGCCTCGCACACACAGGGCCCTCGCTATCTTCCTTCTTTTATTTTATTTTATAAATACACTTGTTTCATGGGCCCCAAAGGGCAGACCAGATTGCACTTCCAATTTGTATACCTAACCCTTTCTCTGACCTCTTTGATTTAGTTTGATCAAAAGAACATTTTTACAAGTAAAGTCAAATTTTCACCAAAAGCGATTTGTTAACAGGCAGTGCGCGCGGGCAGCTATGTATGCAACGGGGTCTCCGAAAAAACTCGTCAGATAACTTTAGCAGTGTGCTGAGTGAGATACAAAGAAAGTAAACGGGAATGATCGCAGGTGTCAGGAGAGATGGATTACTAGTGAGGAGGAGCAGTGAGAAGGTGTTAGCAGTGGAGCAGGACCCCTTTGTGTGAGCAGAGGAGGGAGGAGGAGGTATCGAGCGGTGTGACAGGTGTGTGAGCGCTGCTCATTGCAATGTTTAGTCCGACTATCCCATCAAAAAACATATTTTTAAATGCATTAGCAAACACACTGTTATGTCTGCTTTTGCTAGCTGGATGTGTTTTGTTGTGGGGCAGAGTGTGTGGAGGAGGGGTGTAGCGTATTTTGTTGTTGTCTGTGTGGAGGAGGGAGGTGGGTATGTTGTCAGAGTGTGTGGAGGCATGCTTCAAAAAACGTTATTTAATGAGTAAAAAATAATATTGATCGCCTCATAAGCATTTTTGGCGCATTTTGCCAAAATCTAACTATTAGAAGAAAAAGTCTCCTTTTGGTTCAATCTTATTTGAGTTGCTCTTACCATTTGCCACAGGACGAAAGAGGACATGTCAGCTAAAAAAGACGCGACCAATATTGCACTGTTAGAGTGTGTGTGGCGTTGGTTGTACTGCGCGCGCCCAATCGCTGACAAACACAAATCATGGTCATTTTTAGAATCGTTTTATGCATTGGTATTTACTCACATGTGAGGCAAACAAACTTGGACTAGGATTTGTTTTTATACTTGGTTATTTGAGTAGAAATGTCATGATTTAGCATCCACCTTAGACCTTTCCTGTAAGACCTCAGCAGATCTGTCCAGACCACATCAAAACAGAACCCTGAGTTGAGTGCGGTGCTCGACTTTCAGCTTTTTGGTTGGATCCATGAACGAAATGTGTTGGCTTTGTCTGGATTGTTACACTACATTACATTTTATTTCCCATTTGCATTTGAGGCAAACAAGTTACTTCATTACTTCATATCTACAGAGAGGAGAGCTAACCAGTAATTCAGTATGGAACATGTTCAAAGACTTTTTTCTCTGACATGTACTTTTCAATAATTTGCATAATGAAATATTTAGCAGCCTCAGTGCAAACTATCTGTAAGAAAAGGGAACTGTTCCCATTCACCTGCAGCTTCTGTAAATTCAAAACGCTGCAGCTCGAGTCCTGACAAGAACCAGGAAGTACAATCACATTAGTCCAGTCCTCAGGTCTCTGCACTGGCTTCCTGTGGCTCAGAGAAAAAACCTTAAAACAGCTCTCCATGACTCGTATGAAAAAGGATATCTTAGTGCCATATGAACCAACTCTGAGGAGCACAGGGACTGGCCTCCTGCTGGGACTCTGAGGAGCACAGGGACTGGCCTCCTGCTGGGACTCTGAGGAGCACAGGGACTGGCCTCCTGCTGGGACTCTGAGGAGAACAGGGACTGGCCTCCTGCTGGGACACTGAGGAGAACAGGGACTGGCCTCCTGCTGGGACTCTGAGGAGAACAGGGACTGGCCTCCTGCTGGGACTCTGAGGAGCACATGGACCAGAACTTGCTGGTCTAGGCTGAAAACTGTTTTATTAAGCTATTAACAGTGATTTTTATGAATGTGCTTTAAATATTGACATTTTTCTTAAAATGTTTTATAATGTTTGTGATTGTGTACGATTATTATGTCTTTGTTGAGTTTTGCTGCATTAATATCAATACAGAAAACACTTTTGTTTCCTTTTGCTCAGTAAATCTGAACGTTTCTCAGCCTTTCGGGTTAACGCTGTTTAATCATATTATTTTTTATAACTACAGTGAATAATGTATAAACAAGTCATGTGCATAAACTTCATTTACCTGTTTTTAAAAGCTGTTCTTTTCCATCATTAAGGTACTTTTTTATCCATTCAACACAAATTTGAGTCAGATACTTTTTATCGGCTTGGATCTTCAGCTCGTCCCTGTCCCATTTCATCTTTGTGAACATGGCTTCTGCCCTCGGTGCGATCCACGTCTCAGTCTCTAGATTAAAGACAATAAAATCCTCTCCATCGAAGCCAAACTGACTGAAGCCGTTGACGTTCCCAGTTTCATCGTCCCATTCACAGCCGTACATATTCTGGACAATGTGAGGCCCTGCGGGAAGAAAAACAGGACTTCATCATAATTGTACTGACTTTATACACCAATGATATTCAAAGGATCAGGAGAGTGGAGAATGGGTAATAGTATGTGGGGAGTTGATTTTCCTTACAAAACTTTGATCCAAAATATTTTTCATCCAACTTTGAAGGAACTAACTTTATCTCAGTCGGGTGAAGTTTTGTCAACTAAACAATGATTACAGTGAGAGATGAGGGCGCCAAACCTGCTGGTGCGGTTGGTCACAGGGCACATTGGTTTGAAAGACTTTCAGCTAAACACAGACTAATATTACATTGTGTATTAGTGGTTGTGCTCATGATTGCAAAAAATGAAATCAATGCAATAATACAAGCTGAATTTAAGTAAATGAGGCCGAGTTTATAAGTTCTCCCCTCTCCGTTTCCAAAAAACAAAGGAAAAGCTCATAATATACTTTTGCTTGTTATGTAAATGTGTAAATACTGTCAATTACAATAAGTGATTCCTGTTTTTTAAGCTTGAACTACAAAACATTAAAGAAAATATGTAATGAAAAAGATCCCAGGATAGTTGAATTGTGCACCTTTAACATACTCTGCTGGGTGGTGCCTGCTGTCATTTTTGTCGGTGTATAAACATATGTATAATCTGCATCCATCTTTTCTGAAGCTGGGGCTGCAGTCTGAACTGTGAATGTCAGCTTTACCTTCTACTCACCTTCTGTCTGATTGAGGCGTCGACTCACTGTCTCAATGCTTTGCCTGAATTGGATCTCTGTTAACCTGGTTATCTGTGTTTGTTTCTCCCAGTAATCTTCACCCTCTTTCTGCCTCATCCACTCCTGCTTGGGGACCTCTCTCCTTTCTATGCTGTCGTAGTAAGAGATTGGCTGCTTGTTGACCAGTCCCACTGTCACAAACTCAGGGAAAGATGGAATCCCTTTGGATGCGGTGTAGAGGTACTTGAGGGAGTGAGTCACTGCAACAGACACCGTGAGACAAATGTAAATGTGTCATATGTACATTTCTGACTGCTTATCTCTATAGATCTAACACTGCCACCAAGAAACTTCCACAACATGGCATTACAATTATTGAAGAAGATGACAAAGTCTGGGATCGTGTCTTTAATTCAGACAGAAGACATGTTTTATTGTTGTTGTTGAGACAGCACGAAGACAAACAAGGATGTTACAGACGGCAAGTGATAATCTACAGCAGGAGGAATGGAGTCCTCCAATCAGCGTTGGCCACAGTGTGCTTGTAGCTTCAACCTTGAGATAACCAAAACAATGGAAAAGTACTGTCCTGGGCATATGTTCGAATGATGAGTTAGAGCTTTAACCACAGTTGCTCCAAAGTGTCATGAAATCTCTAAATTATCTACCTCCACCTTTTGATTGTACTCATCACAAGGTCAAGTTACAGACAGGATTAGTGGGAATAACAACCATAGCGGTCCTGAAGGATAAAAACAGCAGACCCACCAAAAACGTCGCATATAAAGGAGCAACACGGGCAACTTAGAGCTGAAATGCAAATAATTAATTTATGCAATATAAAGTAAATATAGGTAAGAGATCCTTTATTCGTCCTACAGCGGGGAAAATTTCAGTGTTGCATCACAAGTTACAGAACAGTAGAAATTAGGAGCACACAGCACAAGATAAGTTGACAATAACTCTATACTAATTCAAACAACATCTCTAACTCTAGCATCAAAGACACAAGTCTATAGTCTAAAATCTATATCTTGAACATAATAAAGTATATTTTTTTACAGGTGAAAATAACTGCTAAGTAATTTTACTTTAAAACACAGGCCTACTGTTTCTCTTCACAAGTTCATGTAAAAAAATAAGACCTCACCCGTCACTGCCTCAGGTGCCCCTAACACAAGGAGGGTGAGGATGATGAGAGCCTCCATCACTTTACATATTGCAGGGACTGAATGAGGGAGTTGGGGCGTCAAGGGCTGAAGAAAGCAGAAGCAGCAGCTGTTTCTGTAAACAGAAACTCAAGCCAATTGGATTTTTTTGTGTCACGTCACATGTTCACAGGCAGAGAATCGAGTTTAGAGTTAGAGGTTGAAGTGAAATCAAAAGTACAGACCATAAAGAGTGGATTGGGTGAGCAAAAGGCATATACAGTACGTAAACCTTAAAGTTATTATAGACATTATTTAATAGGTTTATTTTCTCGCATTCCCAGCACAAAGCAGCCGTTTCGAATCCAGCGCTCAGAACGAATGTGAAACTGTAGAGCCGTTGTTTCTTGGAAATCATGTGACGAGGGAGGTTATTTGAAACTGATCTCTGTATAGACATGGTTTTAACATTAGATAAGCCATTATTAAAAAAGTGGGTGTGCCATGTTTATAGACCCAGACATGTTTTTATTATTTATTTTCTTTATTATGTCTAAAATACATACAAAACCTGTACACATAAAACTCCTAAAATAATCTTTACATTTTCCCAGTCTTCAAAAATATATCATATACAGCTATCTTTGCGACAGTATAAAAATGCCTGTATGTATGAAGAAGCGTCGTAATCATAGAGAGAGACTGTAAATATCATGTCGTACAGTCCATGTTCGCAATACAGTACTTGACTAAGGGCGACATCTAGTGGCGGATTAGAGAACATATGATTTTATTCGCAAAAGACAAATACTGAATTTCAAGCTTATGTTCAACTAGATATTTGCTTGGAATGATATTCTCAAAAATATTTCACAAAATTCCTCCAGTATTCCCTGTTTTCTGGAAAGGTGTTGTGTATTATTTTGACAGTACCACCGGAAGTTTATGGCGCTGGATGAATTTGAAAGTGAAAGTAAAATAAAGGGGGTAGTTTGGGGGAAAACCACTGATCTTGAGGCAGTTGTGTTTGTGCATTGATGTGATCAGACCGCGGTTCAGACTCAGGAGGTGAACATGGCAAAGTTTTCCTCTGTTTCTCTCTCTCTGCTCACGGCGCTGTCTCTCGTTCGCGGTGAGTCTATTTTATGGTATTATCTTTAGTTTGGTCTTATTTTCGCGATATCAAATTAACTAATATTTACACAGCGCATGCTAGAACATTGAAAAGTGTGTATATTTTGCTGCACACGTCATGGGATTTTGGTTTCTGTTTTATTTCCTGCTCTGTTGGGTTTGCTGAGGCATAGAATAAGGTGGAAATAACAATTCAAGATTATCTCGTAAATTACAATCACCTTTTCATATTCTAGTTATGGAGTCATTTTGTGATCAAGTGTGTTTACTCCTGGTATAATACTGAACATAAGTAATGGTGTTTTCATGTGTTAGGGTTTTATTGTACAACGAATTGCTTGATAAATGAGCTTTTGCCCACTATTTTTTTTCCTGCATTTGTTCCACACACTGTAAATAACATCAATCTGCAATACAGAATCTTGCATTGGGATTATTATTTTATTATTATTTTTTGCATTAATGAGATCTTAAATACTTATGTCAAACATGGCTGGCAGATATAGTTTTAAAAACAAAATGGAGACCTTTTGAATCCTTCATGAGACTTTTCCAATTGAAAAAAGTATTTGCAATGCTGGAATTTTTTTTTTTAATGCTATGTTTGTAACTTAGTAATGGTTATTGTGGCCAGTTTCTTTCTTTTTATAAAGTATGGTGTACTACAACATTTCAAAGAAGTGCACCTCCAACTAGAGGTGCACTTCTACTCCTTTAACAAAAGTCTTGGATCCAGAGTGTGATCTGAAGAATCTCAAAGATGCAATTATTATACTTTTTGAGTTATGTAGCAAATTATCAAATAGAAGAACAACCTCCCACCTCCTTACCTTAGTTTGACAGAGGTAAAGAGGAAATGAAAATGTTTTCCCTTTTGGATACTCTCACACTTTTTTTCACCAATTCAAGTGAACTTTCGAGCTGAATATGCTTTGTTTGTGGTTTACCAAATCACCTCCATAACTCACTTAAACATTAAACCAGATCAGTTACATTTGCTTCTGCAGTAAATAAGAGTCCCATCGACCTCACTTGGTTCTCGTCTTGGTTTCGTCTTCACGTTTGTTTTGGTAACCATCTCTGGTGTTGAATTTCCAGTGGGCCGCTCCACTTGTCCCGTGATGCAGTGCTGGTACACGCTGGAGAAAGGTCGAGGCGGAGGTTTGGCTACAGCTGCAAACCAAGTGCAGTCTCTGCTTTTCATCCAGACTGAAGAAGAGAAGCACGACCCAGAGAGCGTGAAACCTGCGCCCGACATCGACCACGTCTTCTTCATCACAGGTTCCTCTTCGTAAAGCTGCCACACACTGATAATGAATGATGAGAATGACTGAAACACAGACATTCCCTCTATAGCAGCCGTTTATGGACAAAAAGCCAAAATTCCCAAACTGCAGATTACTCTATTACCGGTCCATACCTATTTCAAGTAACAACAGCAAGAATGCATGTAACTCTGTATACGTGGAGCTAGGTCTTTAGTAGGACTTCACATTACACCTGCTTTGAAATAACCATAATGATGACAAAAAAAAAACATGTATTTGCTTAAAAGTGCTAACCACAAAGTCCAGTAAAGGGTAGTCCATACCTGAAAGACACGTTTGATATAGCAACACTACATTTTACTATTTTCATCATATACAATCAGAAAATAACTCGAAAGTGTATGCAAACAACTCACAGCAAATTAGCAGCAAGTAAAACTACTGTATCATTTATGTAAAAAATATATATAGATAAACATATAACAAATGTCTAAACTTTGCTTGACCACATGCACTAGCTGTATGACGCATGAAATTAGTTTGAACTATATTGAAGATTGTGATTCAATTTTGACACGTTTAGTTACTCTTGCTCCCTAATATTTCATACCTATGTCCTAATCCTCGTCCTCTGCAGACCCCTCTGGCTCCCTCTGCCATCGGGCCCTGGACCCTCCTAAAGGCTCTATCCAGAAGCCGCACTGTGAGCTGAACCACCTCCAGCCGCAGCCCTCCTCCCTGGGGTGGGTGGCCCCCCTCACAGACACAGACCAGAGCCCCCTGTTCCTCCAGGCCCAGTGGTTCGCCGCTACCATCCGCGGCGTGGACCAGGAGATGTCTGTGACCAGTGTGATTCGAGCTCCGGTGGAAAGCCAACATAATGGTACTTTATGTTTTTACATGTGAGACATGGGCGAACGTTCATAGTGATTCATATTTATGTTTCAGTCTTATTTTGAATGTTCTGTGTATATTTGAGAAGCAGCTGTTTTGTCCTGAAAATTTAGAGAGACTTGAGTGCTCATAGAATATTTCCATTTAATCTGTCAACTTGTATTTTAGAACATTCAAATCCACACTGTGTTATTTACAGACAAAGTCCCTCCAGCGTGTTCCGGGTCTTCACTGGGGTCTCCCTCCCTGGGCTCTCATTTATGTTTTAATAGTTAATTTCATTAGGTTCTTTGAGGCTTCATTAAACAATATGTTAAATATATATGCAACAATGTAGCCTTTTAGTGGATGGATATAAATTTAGATAATTAAGATTGTATGAAGCTTAGGTTATTCTTAAATGCTAATGTGTTTCTCTTTCACAATTTACAAATTTATCCAAATGTATTATTATTTATCATATATTTATTTGAATGGGACAGTTTAGTATGTAGGCTGTAAATTTGCTAGAATCAGGTCAAAGCAAGTCATCAGTCACCCTACTGTATACTGTACGTTTTAGTGTTAGGAGAAACTAAAGCTCCCAATCTACGCAGACGTGGGGAGAATAAGCAAACTCCACTCAGGCTCAGTGTCGCCAGGAGTCAAAACAAGGACTTTATTTCTGATAGTCAATAGCATTTGTTGAACTCGTCCAATCTAAAAATACAAAAATATGGTTGCAATATTCTAACTCTCTAAGATATCTATATTTATTTGCAATTGAAGAAGAAGGTTAATGTTCCCGTCCCACAGTGATCTTGAGCGTCACCACTCAGACCGTGTACGTGGCGGCGCGCCTGGGGGACCCCGCGCTGCTGGACTGTAGCTACTGGGTGGACCCCTCTTCTCCGCTGCACGGCTCTGGGTTCTCTGTGGAGTGGAGGTATCAGTTCAGAGGCAGCGGGCACCTGGTGCTGGGCTACGACGGGAAGAACGACCGACTGTCAGACATCCGGGAGCAGGGAGCCACGCTGGACTTCCAGAGTCTGCACCGGGACAGAAACGCCTCGCTGATCCTGTCCCAGACCCGAGTCAAACAGTCCGGGACCTACATCTGCTCTGTGCACGTGCCCCATCTTGTGGCTCAAGTGGCGCTAGAGCTGGAGATCATTGGTGAGTTTTTTCTATTTGTGTTGTTATTATGATTATCAATTATCAATTCCCGTTAAATGCATAATAAATCATTCACTATCCATCGATACTCCTTTAATTGAAGGGTCACAGTTGTAATGGAACCTTGATTCTAAAGATCGTGAATTGAGAACTTCCCAAAACAAATGTCTCCTGAGCAAAGCTTTTATAAAACGGCTGTGTTCATGACGTCATAGTCTAATTGGTCATAGCAAGTTTGGAAATGGAGGATTTTTTAAGTTAATTCTGTCAAAATGACTAGTTTTGCTACTGCATAATAATAATAACGAATGATAATATTGAAATTAATCCAAGCCACTGATGCAAGTGCAGCACGATAATCCCAAGATAATCACAGTAAAGAAAAATCACATATTTAATCATATTTATATATTGAACCATCAACAGCCAAAACATCATGGTTTTACTAAGAAAAAAGCTTTATTCTGTCAACTTTTGTAATGAAAATGTACATGAAATATTCCGGTATATTGATTATGGAGATTTTTATATTCGCTCTAGACAACTCCAGGTATGTTTTTGAAGACGGAAAAGTGTTGTAATATATTCAAAATCTCAATAGGTCCCTTCTGAATGTATGTTTTTATTTTATTTGTTTGAACCTTTCCCTCCTCAGAGCCTCCGGTCGTGTCCATCCACCCCTCCCAGCTCCCCCTCATAGTTCCAGGACAGACGCTGACGTTCATCTGTGATGCGTCCGGATTCATACCTCTGTCCCTGGTCTTCAGCTGGGAGCTCACAGACTCCCAGGGGAACGTCCGGCTTCTAGGACAGGGCAGTGTTTCAAGCCACAAAGAGGGTAACGACGCCACCTACAGTCAGACCAGCAGACTGCAACTGGACTCATCCCAACTGGAGCAGGGCAGAGGAGGGAAGCTGAGCTGTGTGGCAGAGCACCCTGGGGGCACACGGAGAGCCAGCGTCAGCCTCAACGTCATCGGTAAATCAGATTCAACACATTGTTATATAAAGTCAAGATGGGAGATGGAATCCTGGGTAAAAAATAACAATAACCCATTTTGATGGACGATATGCATTTCTAAATAGATTATGTTAGTGAAATTGTGTAGTATTGTATTGTATTGTTGATATTGTTGACACGGGTTGACTTTCGAGTGATAACAAAGAGGAGTGAACTGGTTACAACGGGGGGTGCCAAAAGAACCACTACACCTATCTTGAAAAATGTGTTGTTACTAACGGACTAATGTTCCATAGAAAACCATACAAAAATTGCTGTACATTTATTGCGTCTCTAAACCTTCTCTCCTCTGCGTACAGCTCTACGTCCTGCTGACCTCAGAGTCAATAGAAGTTGGTCTGGATCGGACAGAAATCAAACTTTTAAAATGCCTTATCTATTGATTGGGGATGGGACATGATCTTGTGCCATAATCACCTTGTCACCTAATTTTTACTGTATTTTAATCATTGTGTTTTGTCCCATCCTCTTTAGTCCTATTTAGGCCACAATAATTACTATATTGACTGATTGTTCCATAACTGATGGATATAACTATACACTATAAAACTATATTTTAAAAAAAATAATTACTATTAGATATATAAGATTCAATAATAATACAAATTATACATGTTATTTCTCAAGCGCCTTTCTAGATACTCAAGGTCAAATTACAGAGTTAGAAATAGCATGAACAGAGGATGGTGTAGTTATGGTGTAAGACGAAATATTATTTAATTCTTCTGTTTTCGGTTTTACAATTAGCATATTCTGAAGCAAATACTAATCGTGACAGGCCTTCTTATAATAGTTCTTTATTTCTTTTTACTTTTCAACAGCATTAGTATTTTTTTTTCTTCCAAACATAATCAATGTATTTTTTCTGTGTTTGTAGGTTTCAGTTCTCCGTCTATCGAAGACTCGATGGCGTTGGTGGGAGTGGCATTGGTTCTGTACGGATTCATCAAGTTTGTCTCGTGGACTTTCACTGGTTCAGGTGAAAACAAAACCAAAACCTCCCTGTGATTGTCCATCTCTGTCGTTCATTGTCTCTTGCTCGATAACCAAATCGAGGGAGCGCATTCAAAGCAGCGGGGAGTTCCAAAGAGCTAAACAAGAGTAATGGAACAGTTTGTGATTAAACTAAAAATACCCCATGGATACAAACAATTTTCACTTTACTGGACAAAAATTATATGTAGCTGTCCCAGTGGCATAGACAACAAAATAATTAGTTTAAAATATCATTACAAACATCAATACCTTATAAAAGACATTTGAAAACATAAGATAAGAGCACCGTCCCACAGTGGGGAAATTTCAATGTTGCAACGCACATATAGGACAGTAGTGAGAGCACCAGGGAGCAGGCAACTAATTATTTAAACAATAACCTTAATTCTGTCTATTTCACTCTGTATTCATTCAACTGCTTGACACTTATTTTTAATGTCCTCAGATGACAATGAAGCTGATGAAAAGGTAAAAACAAATTTGAATGTTTTTGTTAATTCTTATAGTAGATTAAACAGAAATTGTGGCTAAACTGTTTTATCTTTACAGAAGAAGAATTGAAGAGCGGATTTCTGTGATTCGTTCTAACACGAAGAAACCAGCTGTGACCATTTTGGATTGTTTTATTTTAATTTTTCATAATGCTACTCAATGATGCTGTTTTTAAATGTTTTGAAGTCATTATCCTGCTGATTCTGTGTCTGTCTGTCTGTGTTTCTGTAGTGATTTTATATTTTGGTACGATAGGAACTTTTGTGTTGAATAGCCTGTGTTGTAAATGTCTAACTTCAAGAAGATATAGCACATCTCTATATCTCTATTTTTATCTTATCAGAAACAGACGCAAGAATAAAGTCAATAGCTCTGGGGGTTCACATATTTACTGTATGTTTTGGCAGCATGAGGCTCAGGAGTAATATAACAGGGACATAATGTGGTCCCATATTGCCCACAAGAAAGCCTTTTCACGCCTTCTTTTTAATGTCAAAAGAAATACAATTATTACCTGGTTAATTGGTGGTTTTATTTTCTATTTGTATATATCGTAGGCGCATATTGGTATGAATGTCTTTTTTGTATTGTTTTCATCATTTTTGGGCAATAAAAAGTAGGATAGATGTGTGCACTTGTGATCCATTTGTTTTCACCTGTATGTGTAAGTCAGATCCTGTCAGACCTCTGAAGCAAAGCAGGGCAGAGCTTGGTTACTAGTGAGATGAGAGACCTCTGAGAACACCAGTTGCCACAGTGGTTGTAAAGTTGGAAGTGTCTTGCCTAAAAACACAACAGTTTCTTCATCCACATTGCCTAGAATGAGTGGTGTGTTTGTGTGAATGGTTGCATAGTTCTGGCAGTGTGCCTCAGGGCAGCTACAGTGGTTAATCCCCATCCTGTTTACAGTCAATGAATAATGACACGCAAAGAGTCTTTGAACAGCAAAAAGGGCTGTGTAAAACCAATGCATTATTTTTATCATTCATGAAAGTTTGCTCCTGTGAAAGAAGAGATAAGGATGCGTGTGTTGTTGTGGTTGGATGTGGGTGCAGTCTATGGTGCAGAGCAATGTTTTTTGTAGAATCTTTTTTCAGCTAAAAATAATAATATTGTAGTTGTAAAGATACGAAACAAGTCTAATGATGTTTTTATTCGGGTACCGCAGATTTACAACAAAGTGCGCGCAAACCTGAACCACACAGGCCAATGAGCGTCAGTGTTACTCAGCGCGTTTTGACATGAGCCAATCAGAGCCCGCGTCTTTCGAAGGCGGGTTCTCTTCTCCACACGGAGACAGCAGCTCACGGGTATTGTTCGAGCGGAGTTATGATGATATTGAAACAACTTATAATGATTTCACTTTATACGTGGAAGTAACAGATTTTAGACACTCAATGATTCGTTTTTTAAATTATGTTTGCGGAAGATCGCTGTTTTTTTGGACCCCAAAGCTAATGCTAACACCACGGCTATCGTGGATTTCTAAAAATATACACCTCTGACGAGTCGTTACGGGTTTGGTTTTCACGTGGATCTTTATCTTTTAACGGTGAGTTCTTTCATGATTGTGTCAACGTAACACGTGCCTTTCCCAAAGTAATATTCACGCTAACATGTCTAAACTTGAGATCCAGCTTTCACTATTCATGGGATTCAACTTCCTGTTAAATGTAGCTTTAAAACCATGTCTTCATAACAAATGTTTTCTTTTAAATTGAAGCCAATGGTTAGTTCTATTCTTTCAGGAAGTTGAAGAGTAAGTTAAGTTTCCTAGAAAACCTGTTTCTTTCTTTCACAAACGATACATGATCGATTCAGTCTCCTCATTTTCATTCCTTTAAGTTTCTTACATTTCAGACTATTTTATTCTCCTGTTGTTTTTCCTATTCTAATTTAAATATATTTCCATAATTTATTGTATTATGAATCCTGAATTTCTCCAACAGGGGATCAATAAAGTATCTATTAAATATTTCCCATCATAGATCTATTGTGTGTGTCTTATTGTGTGTGTACTGTACTCATCAGGTTCTTATCTTTTCTTTACAGGCACAGCAGGAGTGAAGTGCAATTACTTCAGAATGGCAGTGGCCCCTGCCGCTTTGGCAGATAGAATTATTGTCCTTGATGATGATGATGAAGAAGAGACTCCTCAGCCTTCCACTTCCTCAAGACGGTCTTCACAGAAGCGATCGCCGCTCAAATCTGAGCTACCCACTCACATCATACATTCCCCGTTCGCCTCTGCCAAGAAAGAGCCATGCATCCTGCAGTTGGAGAACCAGAAGCTGTTTGAGGAGGTGAGAATAACTTTACTACATTAGGTAAAATATATTAGTAAAGAAAAAATTCTATCAACAAACTTCAAAATGACGCCAACAAGGGCCCGTTGAGGAAGCTCAGGAGGTGTTCCACCAGTATGAAGACAATTGTTTGTTTGTTTTTGTTTTATCTTTACTACAGGTAACATAAACACAGAGTGCCACAGTATTTTGTTCTGTTTACTCTTGTGCATCCAATCAAAACAAAGTCATCTTGTTTTGAAGGGAATCTTGGATGACAAGACAGGACATAAACAGAGTATTTGATATTGTGTCCCATAAGAATATTTGAATGAATCTGTGTATTGTATTTATTTTAGCGGGTTTATTGTGTCTAACTACACATTTTCTGTTTTAGTTTGTAGAGCACTGCTCGGCACAAACCCAGGACTGCCCTGAAGTGATTACTTTTCTCAAGACAAAACATGGAAAGGCCACCTCTAGTTTTCTGTCATCAGTGGAATTTAGGAACTCTTTGGGACGATGTTTAACCCGTGCTCAGGCCAATCGCTCCAAGACATTTGTCTACATCAATGAACTGTGCACATTGCTGCGGCAACATGGGGACAAGAAGAGACAGAGTCTCGCTAAACCCGAAGCTTCAACCCTAAAATCGGCTTCAAATCAGTTTTCCTCTGATCAAGAGGTTAAAGCCGACATGGAGGAACAGGAGAAACCGTCTACCTCAGGGATGAACAACGACACTGAGCCAGATAAAAAATCTGTCAGAAAATCAAAGAAGCAGGTCAGTCTACAACTCTTAGATTATCAGTCTTTCTGCAGTCTAAAATGTGAGTAACAATTGGTAATCTCTTTAATCTAACCACTGTCAGATAGGTTAAGAAAAAGCTTATCACAACATTCTGAATTCTTGTCATTAACATCAGTAATTGTGAATGAGCATAAGCCTTCAATTAATGTAAAATATAAAATAAATCTAAAAAGAGCATTCGTCTTATAAATGTAAAACCCTTATTATAATGCTGCGACGAATAATAATAACTTAACTATTTATTCTTGATCAATTTTTAAATCAACATACAGACTACGGCACATGGACTGGACATGAACAACATTTTAAGCTATGTGTTCCAAATTGTATCTCCATTACAGAGAGGAGGGAAATGCATTTACATAGTGTGTGTGTGCGTATATAATATTTATATAGACATTAATATATATGCAATATAAACGATGGCCTCCTGTTTAGAAATACTTCCTACTATAACCATCGGTATGATCTGTGTTTTACATTTCTCAGTTACTCATTTTAATCCTTTCAATTGCTTACAGATTGCATACTTGGAAAATTTGCTCAAAGTTTACAATGACGAGATTCGCCGCCTTCAAGAAGCTGAATTAAGTTTGGACGAACTCGAGACGGAGGACTCCACGTACATCCAGGAGCACAAACTCAAACGCAAGGTCAGCACCAGTGAGGCAGGAAGCGGTGTGGGTCATGAGAAGGTCACCGTGTCCTTGTTGTGTTCCAGATGATAAAGATTTATGAAAAGCTGTGTGAACTTAAGAACTGCAGCTCGTTGACGGGTCGAGTGTTGGAGCAGCGCATCTCCTACAGCGGCTCTCGATATCCGGAGATCAACAAGAGGGTGAGCTTCTGCAATCTTCTGAATACTGTTCCATCCTACGAAACAAATAATTCAAGACACTATTGACAAGAAAAGGCATAACATTCAAATCCTGTGCATTATAAACCATGCATAAATCTCTTTTTTACATTAGCATCTATAAAGTATTTGTATTTACTATCTTCAACTTTGTGTAAGTGCTCTATTGGACTAAAAGTTTTCCCTGGAAATGAAGAAATTATAGCATGGATCTCATTGATTTGTGATGGGTCTATATTTTGAAGGCCATATCTGTGTGTGTGGCTCTCATGCACGTTCACACAGGGGGCGTCCTCACCAATCAGACGCTGCAGATCATACCGGAGCTAGAGCGGGAGATAATCGAGCTGAGTTTGTGGCACTAAATTATGGATTTATAAAAAAACGAAGGATTTAAGAAGAAAAATAGTTCAAGATGAAAATGGAAAATGAAATCCCCACAGAATCCGATCTTTATGAAAGCTGTAGGTTCTCTGTCGGCTGAGGTCGAGCTGTTTGAGTTTACATTGAGTTCTATGGGGGAAGGTTTCTGGGTAGCCAACATGAATTTACTCTTGTCTAGTCTGCAGTACCGCGAGAATCCCCCGAGCAAATAGATCCTTCAGCTCCAAGCTAGTAATACCCTATCCAGATAATATAATAGATCCATGGTTGCATAGTACTCGACAGTAAGAATGAAGAGTACACAAAAACAAAGTGAATATTAAGTACAGCACAACTTTAAATAAAATAAACAGTGTGAGATGGGACCATAAATACATTATTCCTGGTGTTAAACTGCATGTGCATTTTCATAGATCTGTTTGCTCTAATGTCCATATATTTTTCACAAAGACATAATAAATACACTCCTGTGTGGCCCTCTGATAAATTGAGTTTGAGACCCCTGCTATAGATGTTTGCTCCTTTTCATTGCAAGAGAAACACATCACGTTTCCTTGATGCCTTCATTATTTTGCACGTGACAGATTAGGTGCAGATTATTAGACGCTGCACCTTGATTTATTCTGGTGTGTAAGATAAGATAAACTTTATTTGTCCCACAGTGGAGAAATATTGTCTCAGATTGCACACATGAAATTGAGTCTTATTTAAGATAACAGACTATATAATTAAAATAAGAATAAAATAAAATAATCTCTAGGGTTATTTTTGCACTTGGTTCAGAAGTGTTGTCCTTTTACGAAGCTTATCATTTTTGCAGTTGAAGAAAGGATTAAGATTAAGAGATCCTTAAGAGAGAAATTTCAGTGTTGCATCACAAGTTATAGAACAGTAGGAAAGAGGAGCACATGCTACCTGAACAATAGCTATACTAATTAAAATAAAACAAAATCTCTAACTCTATCTTGAAAATAATAATAGATGTAAAAAAATTAACATTTGGCAAAATAAGAGGCAAGTATAAAGTACTGTGTAATCTAGTGCAAGTAATGTGTAGTTGTATGTTAGCATCTGTACATTAGCAGCAGTATGTTTACTTCTGTACATTAGCAGCAGTATGTTTACTTCTGTACATTAGCAGCAGTATGTTTACATCTGTACATTAGCAGTAGTATGTTTACATCTGTACATGTTAGCAGCAGTATGTTTACATCTGTACATGTTAGCAGCAGTATGTTTACATCTGTGCATTAGCAGCAGTATGTTTACATCTGTGCATTAGCAGTAGTATGTTTACATCTGTACATGTTAGCAGCAGTATGTTTACATCTGTGCATTAGCAGCAGTATGTTTACTTCTGTACATTAGCAGCAGTATGTTTACATCTGTACATTAGCAGCAGTATGTTTACATCTGTGCATTAGCAGCAGTATGTTTACATCTGTACATTAGCAGCAGTATGTTTACATCTGTGCATTAGCAGCAGTATGTTTACATCTGTGCATTAGCAGCAGTATGTTTACATCTGTGCATTAGCAGTAGTATGTTTACATCTGTACATGTTAGCAGCAGTATGTTTTAGGGGTGCAACGGTTTGAAAAAATCACGGTTCGGTTCGTACCTCTGTTCAGAGGCCACGGTTCGGTTCATTTTTCGGTTCATTTTTCAAAAAAAAGTGTTGTCTTTTTAATAAACACAGCTCATGTGGACTCGGCACCTGCTCTGACTGCCCCCCCTGACCTAGAAATGAATTAAGGGGAAGGAAATGGATGGATGGATGGATGGAATATTCCATCCATCCAATTATGTCTATTTAACATAATTAATGAAAAACAACACAAAGTGCAACATAAGAAGGCACTTTATGAGGATATTTACTCTCATATATTACACCACCTTCCTGATTCGAGGAGGCGCTCCATTCTGGGCCCAGCCTCATTCACTGCATTTATTTAATTTTTGGCATTATCAGTTTTTTACTGGGATATTAGTACTGGGCCTTTGTCTTCCATTCCTCCGCTGCTTGTGTCAGTACCTGCGCTGTGTGACAGTGTGACTGTCGTAGAGGGGGCGTGTCTTCAGCCCCAGACTTTTCATCTCCCAGTCTGCGGTGATGAAGTGAGCGGTTCTGCTCATGGATCTATTATAGGTTCCGCGGGACGTCCAAGCGTCAGTCGTGAGCTGAGCTGAGGATGCGCGGGAGAGTTGACTTTAGCCCGGTCTGACTGTGCGTAAAGGAGCTGCTTAAATGCCGCGACAATAAGCGGTCGTTGAGACGCTTTTTTCACTCATGTCTTTCTTGTGCCACAGTGCTTACACATCGTGACAGTTTTGTCGAATATTAATTATCAGTGTAGTTACAGTGAAGCCAAAATGCTCTCATACTGGGGATTTAAATGACGCGGGGCTTTCAAGCATCTCCGTTCCTCCGCTCGCAATGACCGCGCTGTGTGTGGACTGAACAACGTGCGCACAACTTTTTTTTCATAAATCAAACCGCGGATAACGTCTGTACCGAACCGAAGACGTTGAACCGAACGGATCACGGATCAGTGATGAACCGTTGCACCTCTAGTATGTTTACATCTGTACATGTTAGCAGCAGTATGTTTACATCTGTGCATTAGCAGCAGTATGTTTACATCTGTGCATTAGCAGCAGTATGTTTACATCTGTACATTAGCAGCAGTAGGTTTAGGATTAGAACAGGTTTAGAATGTCTAATGGGTTAGATCTTTGAGACTGCCTTTTTGGTATCTTGTTATTTGCAAATTTCTTTTTTAAAATACATTTTGGGGCCCACCATGATAAGTTTTAAGACATTTTCCAAATCCATCTAATACCTGATCCAACATAAAAAACACTACAGAAATCATCCTATCGGTGCATTTGGTATCTTCCAAAAACCTTTCCAAGCCCTTGGACGTTCATATTTGCTTTTGCTGATGTGATTTGTTTTGTTGTTTTTAATCCAGTTGGAGAAGTTCATCAACAGCCCAGAGGCTCGGGAGAACCCCCCTGATTACCAAGACATTTACCAGCAGGTCCTTCGAGCAAACGAGCGCTACAACCTGTGTTTAACTCGGAAGCGGCTGTGTGAAATTGCCAAAGAGGCCTTTAGGGACACAGCCAGCCGCATCCAGGACAGACGCCACCTCGACCTGGTTTACAACTTTGGCTCCCACCTCACGGACTCCTACAAACCTGGTGAGAAGCTACGCAGAAGTCTATAGGCTTAATTTGATCCGGTGGTGCATCTTGACCCACAGTTTGCTGTAGAGAGATGGTGTAGGTGTTCAGAAGGTTACCGGGTGGTTATGTGTCTATTCTGTTTGTTGAGGGGAAAATGTCTTTAATGTAATATTAACACAATTACCGTTTATTTCCATAGCTTTTGATCCAGCTCTGCAGGACCCAAGTTTACTAAAAAAGCTCAAGTCTAACAGAGAAGTCGCCCAAGACCGCTTGAATGAGGTCATTACTAAATACGCTTCGAAACAAGAGGACATAGAGGAGGAGGAGGAGAAGCTGAAACGCTCTGAAAAGGAGAAGTCAACTAAAGAGGTGCGCAGGAAAATGACTCGCTCAAACCTGAAACTTGTGTTTGAACGTACAGATGTATCGACTTGCACAAAATTAACAATGATTTCACAATTCTATGTCATCACAGAAAAAAAAGCTTATTAACATTGTGGTTTTTTTTTTTCTTAGAGTGCGTCAAAAAATGATAAAAAACCTGTTGTCAATGGGGCTAGAAAAGATGAGGAGGAAGAGGAAGAAGAGGAAGAGGATGATGAAGACGATGAGTCTTCAGATCCAGACATCGAAGAGGAAATTCAGGCCAGCTCTCAGCTCGACAACGGAGGTCAGCAGCTCTCCTGTTTAGGTCACCTGTTTATTTGGATCACAGTAGATCCAAAGAACCCATTTTTCAGAAATGTATTTCTTATAATTCAGCAGTGGTTCTTAAATGTCCAAATTTACATAGACAATGGGCATATAATGGTGAATCCTGAAGATTTTTCCATCAGTCTCATGTGAGTGAATGAGTCCACGGGCGCAGGGAACCAGTTCCTCTATGCGCCAATGAAACACAAAAATGAGTAGATTGTGAATCCACAGACAAATCTAATGCTGCAGATTATGTCTGAGACTGAGGCACTTCCACAGTGATCTGTGTTCACATGCTCCATCTTGTTAGACCTCAAACTTTACCAAATCCTTTTGCTGTACAGCTATCATATAAATCATTATTAAGCATTTTAGAACAATTAAACTCTTATTATTGCGTTACATTAATCTGTTGTAATTCCTAAAATGTTGTGCGATCTTATCAGTAGTATTTTTTTCTATTAATTAACAGCTAATACTTAAAGCCCCCCTGTGTAATTTTTACACTTGCTCCATATGAAAAAAACATGCGCCATCTTGAAAAACAGTGGTGGATAAAGGACAAAAATGAGGCAAGAATTGCATTTTTGTTTCTCCCACTACTGATGTCGTTGCTTTCACTGTGTCCTCACAAGTTTAAAGAAGGAACCATGGAAGACCACAGTTATATAAAAGAACCATGGAAGACCACAGTTATATAAAAGAACCATGGAGGACCACAGTTATATAAAAGAACCATGGAAGACCACAGTTATATAAAAGAACCATGGCAGACCACAGTTATATAAAAGAACCATGGAAGACCACAGTTATATAAAAGAACCATGGAGGACCACAGCTATATAAAAGAACCATGGAGGACCACAGTTATGTAAAAGAACCATGGAAGACCACAGTTATATAAAAGAACCATGGAGGACCACAGTTATATAAAAGAACCATGGAGGACCACAGTTATATAAAAGAACCATGGAGGACCACAGTTATATAAAAGAACCATGGAGGACCACAGTTATATAAAAGAACCATGGAAGACCACAGTTATATAAAAGAACCATGGAAGACCAGTTATATAAAAGAACCATGGAAGACCACAGTTATATAAAAGAACCATGGAAGACCACAGTTATATAAAAGAACCATGGAGGACCAGTTATATAAAAGAACCATGGAAGACCACAGTTATGTAAAAGAACCATGGAAGACCACAGTTATATAAAAGAACCATGGAAGACCACAGTTATATAAAAGAACCATGGAAGACCAGTTATATAAAAGAACCATGGAAGACCACAGTTATATAAAAGAACCATGGAAGACCACAGTTATATAAAAGAACCATGGAGGACCACAGTTATATAAAAGAACCATGGAGGACCACAGTTATATAAAAGAACCATGGAGGACCACAGTTATATAAAAGAACCATGGAAGACCAGTTATATAAAAGAACCATGGAGGACCACAGTTATATAAAAGAACCATGGAAGACCACAGTTATATAAAAGAACCATGGAGGACCACAGTTATATAAAAGAACCATGGAAGACCACAGTTATATAAAAGAACCATGGAAGACCAGTTATATAAAAGAACCATGGAAGACCACAGTTATATAAAAGAACCATGGAAGACCACAGTTATATAAAAGAACCATGGAGGACCACAGTTATATAAAAGAACCATGGAGGACCACAGTTATATAAAAGAACCATGGAGGACCACAGTTATATAAAAGAACCATGGAAGACCAGTTATATAAAAGAACCATGGAGGACCACAGTTATATAAAAGAACCATGGAAGACCACAGTTATATAAAAGAACCATGGAAGACCACAGTTATATAAAAGAACCATGGAAGACCACAGTTATATAAAAGAACAACCCGAACAACAATCTTTTAGAAAAATAATTATGCAAAAGTCCGACGTCATAGCAGCAAACTGTCATCGCAAACCACACGCACAAAGACAGGAGGCACATTGTGTAGTTTGTTCACAACAGACACACACGTAAACAATACGTAACTTTCTTCACACCAACAGTGATGAGAACGATGCAGAATCTGCAACAGTCTCAGGATGTTCTGACCGATCCGAGCGCAGTCAAACTACTGCGTCACAAGTTTCAACTAAACTTATTCAGGGACAAAGCCTCAAATACAAAACACACAGAATCCCCACAAAACAATCACAGAATACTTCATCAGCAGCGTGAGTGAATGTTCTGTTTTCTTACCGTGCTGCAGATAGGGCGCTGTGGCTAATGCTAATGCTAATAATAACATGAGCTTTTAGCCATGTCCTGCCGCGGCTCTGTATATCTCCTGCTTCTTTGATCATCGTAGTTTTAAGATCCCGTAGACGTTAATCCGCCATGCGTCTCTTCTCTTCACACCAAAGACGACATATTGTCTATCAAAGCCTTCCGTAGTCTGCCTGCAATATAAGATCTCAACGCTAGACGGGAGTAAAAACTACATTGTGTACCTTTCTAAAATGCTGTAAGTAATTATCTTATAACCCCTGCAGAGGTTAATGCTGAGTCAGATATGTGGGGAACAAATGTGGATTTGTCCCACATTTTGAAGTAGTGCATTTGTGATGTTTCATTTCCCACTACTAACAAGTCTTAATGTATTATTAGCAGGAGTAAGTGAAGAAGAGGAAGAGACTAATGAGGCGGAGCAAGCTGTGGACGACGCCGACAAAGACCAGCTGACTCAAAGTGTTTCGGAGAGCGACAAAGAAGACATCAGTGACCTCAGCCCCATGTCCCAACAGAGCAAGTCTCTCCTCACGCCCCTCTCCGTCTCCCCCCAAGACAGCCCCAGCCAATCAGAGCCTGCCCCCAGCCTGGAACAGAGGCCTCTAAGCAACGGGACGGCGGAGTCCACCATGCAGGAGGAGGATGTTTCCATTTTACTTGTTAATGACAAAAACAATATAGACACTAAAGAAACAGTGAATGGAGTGAACGTGACGCCGTGCAAGTCGTCCAGCACCACGATGGAAAACGACCGGATGACGAGATCCCACAAGAGGAAGAGGGAGGAAATCACAGCGGCCAAGCACAAGAAAGTCCTCCCATCTGACGGGTAAGCATGTTCGGAGTGTTGGTCTGTTTCAGGCAGGGTTCCACTGCACTATTGTCTGTTTGCAACGGGCAATTTCATTTTGAGGGAAATGGTAAGTTTGTTGTGTCTGAAAATGGAAGGTTTTACACAAATATATGGAACTTGTTTTTATGTGATTTGGGCTATTGTCAAAACTGTTTAAGCTCTAATGCGAACGTCAAGCTTTTCCAGACAAGAAAATTGTACAGTGGACACCTTTTTATTAACTAGAAACTTTCAGTTACCATAAGGTGGTGAGATCCTACCCCAAATCCTGTGTTGGGTCTGGGTCTGTTTTTGAAGGTCTGTAGTCACACCACTCCCGCTCAATAAGGATGCAGTGAAAAAATGTTGACCTCATCCGGTCTCGCTGGTCCTTAAACCGTATTGAAAGGCATGAAAGAGGAGGGATTTAAATCATGTAAATCCTCATGGCTGGGCCACTATGTAAAAAGCCATATCGTTTTGTGTTCGCCCACAGTGACACTGAGATCCCTCTGGACATGGGTGTCCACGAGTCTCCGCCACGGTCTCGAGCCGAAACCCCTCCTTACGTCAGCAGCTCTCAGTCGACGCCGCCTCCAAAGAAGAACAAGGTGGGCACACAATACTGGACAAAGATTCTTTAAAAAGCATGTGCTAAGATGAGTCTATGAGTCTCATATTCATTCATTCATAGTCTATGAGACTATGAATCATGCTTGAATCATAAAGCAGAGAATGACTGAGTTGGAAGTGAGAGCTGTGATGCAGAAGCCCAGTTTTCAAATCACAGAGGATTTAGTTTACAAATGAGCGAGAACCTTCTCAACAGACAAACCATTTTACCGTTGTAATCTTTTTCTGCTGGTGTCTAAAAGTATCCAAAAAAATAATCCAAAAAACAGTTTGGAGTAGAGCTTGTGCTTTCGGTGAATTTAAAGTTTTTGCCACTGTCAAACGTAATGGAGATAGAGAGGCTCTTTGTGTTCCACAGAGGGAAAATGTTAGTGTTGATTTACACATTGCTGTAGGAATAGAATTTTCACTCGAATCAGTCAAAATGATAGACTGTTGCGAATATTAGTTGGAGTACGTAAAATATTGATGCTTATAAATCGTATTTGTATGAAACTACAATTTCACTTGTGCACTTACCTTAGAAGTAGTAGCAGCAGTTAGGGCTCCAGACTACAGTGATGGCTGCCATTTTCTTGGATATGGAAGAAATAAATAAATAAATATGGGTGTAAAAAGTGACGATTTTATTCAGGCTGTGACAAGTTAGTCGGTTAATGGTAACTACTACTAACTACATTTGTCAACTAATTTAGGATGTGATTCATTGTCTTTCTTTGCTTTTCACCTTAAAAATATTAGTCAAATAAATGACATAACTGCGGTATGGAAATTTATTTTATAAGGTATTTACAATGTATAACAATCCACAGAACACAGACGATCTCTGTTCTTCAGGCAATGCACTTGAGCTTTGTTTTTGTCAAATGTGTAAAACATTAGCATATGAGATTTTAATATCCAAACAAATAACTGATCAATCGGCAAAAGCATAATCCCAGAGATGTGGTTGTAAAAGCAGCAGTTCTTGTTTTGTACTTTTAAAAAGTCTAACCCAATGTTTATCTTTTCCTTTCAGGTGAATGTAGCCACACAGTGCGACCCTCTGGAAGTCATAGAGCTCTCGGACTCTGAGTGAACTCTTTTTTTAGTAATTTTTTTTTTTTAAAGGTGGTCTTAATCACTTAGAGATGCATTTCTTTTCGGAAAGAATTGCTCTCGATGGTTTCATGCAGGGACTTTTGTAAACTAGTGCCTAAAATCTATGTACATTCTTATTTTGTATGAATGGTTGCAGTCCTGTAAGATTCATGAATGGGTCATGGAAGATTGGACAAGGAGGGCAGGGAATGTTCAGAATTGGCTAAACTCTCACTTGGTGTTTGAACTACAGCTGAGGAATTAAAACTATATATAAATGTCAATAAATTCGTGGCCCGGCCCAAACACAATAAATGCAATCGATGGTCGTGCTGAGGTTTCAGTCGCCCACTCAGACATCTCAAACACAGCTGAAGGTTTGTTAAATGTTTAAATGTTTAGTTTGTCAAAGCTGCTGTGAACGACGTATAAAGCTCATGTTTGTATTTGGTTCCTGATTCCCGTATGTTCTGTCACATGTTGAAGGTAATGTTTCAGGATTCACAGTTGTGCTTATAAGTTAAAGCTGGGGTTCCTAATTTTCAAGCCACAACCAATCGGATTGTAATAAAATCTATGTAACTAGTCCTTGGCTCAACAACAGTTTGGCTCTATCGCTAGTCTCGCATGCGTGAATTTTTGGTCTGTGTCTTTAGAGCAGAAATGTGACAAAGACCGTCTCTCAGCCCAGAGTCAAATATGTTTCTCTTCTGTGAGCCGGAAAGCATCAGTTTCATATGAAGCGAGTCACTGCCACAGAATAAAGATAATCAAAACCTCATGCAGCAAAGTGGACCATGCCACAACACAACCTAACATGTAAGTTTAAATATATGAAAGATGCATATAAACATATTAGCACAACTGTAGCATCACTTTCATTTCAACAGGTAGATTCTTCAATGAACAAAAGTGACATTTATTTTGTGTTTATGAAGCACTTTCATTTTTCAGCCCAAGGATGTGATGGGTCAAAGGTGCAGAACTATTGTCATCTTTGTGAAGCCAATTCTGTTCAATTTGGTTCAACATTCATAACGTAACCCTTCTGCAGACAATTACATGTCCCCTGCTCTCCATCATGAAGTTTTACAACTGTTTGAGACAAACAAAAATGATTTTTGACTTTAGCCATTTAGCCTCCATCACTCATAGAATTCTAGTAAAATAGACAGTTTTTGGGGGTTGAATAGGTTTTATGGGCCCTTGTTGGTCCCTGCAGCTCTGATGTCCATACGATTACTGATGTTTATGGATTAGGGATGTGGACAGAAAACAGAACGTTTGTGCTGTGCTCGATGCTTGTTGAATGATTTAAATGTA